TGCAGTAGCTTCCTCAGGCTGCTGGAACAAACGGCCACAAGCTGGGTGGTTTAAAACAAGAATTGGTTCTCTTACCATTCTGGAGACAAGAAGTCTGAAATCGAGACAGCAGCATACGTAGGGATTCTTTCTGGAAGCGTGGAGGGAGATTCCACCCCACACCTCTCCCGGCTTCTGGTGGCAGCCAGCAATCCTGGGTGTCCTCTGGCTTGTGGGTATGCATTCTGGCCTCTGCCCCCAGTGTTCCCATGTGCCCGCGTCTCTGTCCAGATCTCCCTCATGTAAGGATGCCAATCCTTGGAGTTAGGGCCACCCTAATCCAGTGTGACCTCCCCTTAACCTAACTAATTGCATCGGCAAAGACTCTACTTCAAAGTAAGATCATATGCACAGGTTCCAGGTGGACGTGAATTTGGGGAGGGGAGCACTGTTCAACCCAGTACCCAGTCACAGAGCCTAGAGTGAGGATGAGCGTCCTCTCCTCAGATTCACAGGTTTTCTAGAAGCGCTGACAGAGATGGCTAACATCCTCTGAGCACCTGCCAAGTGCTAAGCCCTGCGCCTGACATAGAAATCTGTGTCACTAAATTCCCACCGTAGCGTGTGGGGGGCAAGAGCATTTGCATCCTTGGGTTTACGGAAGAGGAAACTGAGGCACAGGCCACTTCCGCGACTGGCCCCAGGGTGCATCAGGAGAAAGACACAGAGCAGGTTCTGGACTCAGGACTGGATGTGTACAGAGCCAGAGCCCGTAACCCCACAGCCGTTGTGCCGGACGTGCAGAGGCCCAAAGGCCAGACCCTGGGGGGCACGTGAGGAGCTGCTCGCAGCCCGGCTGCTGCCTGGGTGACGGGCTTTGATGCAGCCTTTCCCCCCACTGCAGGCCCGGTACCCCCAGTTCATCAGCAGAGTGAGAGGACGAGGCACCTTCTGCTCCTTCGACACTCCTGATGAAACCATACGGAATAAACTCATTTTAATAGCCAGAAACAAAGGTAAGTGAACAGGACTGGAAGCCGAGCCGCATCAGGGACCCAGGTCACCTGGGGAGGGTGCACCGCGGGGCGCAGGGAGGCAGGGGATTTGCGGGGCTGAAAACAGTCTGAGTGCTCTTTCTCAAAAGAAGGGGAAGTGGCCAGCAGACTTCCTTATTCATTCACTCGATAGATATTCACCTGGTGGTGAGTTGCACTAACAGAGGAGAGAACTGAGATGATGAAGGAACGAGACCATTGGGGCCCTTCCTTCAAGGAGCTCAGGGTCTAGCAGGAAGGACCATGTGAGATGGCGTTTCATAAACCATAGGTTGTAGTTCTGCATCCTAGGAAGAAGGAAAGGAGGCTAAGGATGGAATAGCGGGGGGGGGGGGGGGGGGGAGGAGTGTGGAGACCAGGAAATCAGGGGAGGCTTCCTTGAGGAAGAGGCATTTTACCTTAGGTCTAGCCAGGTGAGCCAGGGCTGGCCAGGTGAAGATGAGGAAGGGCATTCGGGCAGAGGGAGGCACGTGTGCAATTACCTGAGGCAGGATGGAGCCCACAGAGGCAGAGAAGCGTCTGGAACGGAGTGTGGGGAGGGGCTGCCAGGCGCATGTCACATGGCCCTGTGGAGCCCGTTCAAGAGTCCCAGCTTCTTCCTGAGCTATGGGAAGCCACGGGAGAGGCTCAGGGGGGTCAAAGTGTGCGATCAGAGGGCCTGAGATGGGTCAAGCAAGACTCAGCCCCTTCACTGCTCCATCTCAGAATTCCCGAGGAGCAGGGGTAACTCATCTCCTCTGTAATGAGAAAGCTGTTTCGGGGGTGCTACGAGACCTTGACCAGAACACCCAGCCAGTCAGTGTGCAAGACACCCTTTAAAATCAGCAGGCCCGACCACCCCTGGTGACAGCTGTGCCCCTTGCATCTGCTGCCGGCTGCCCGCACTGCATCCCCTCCGTTTGCTTCTTTCCTTCCTGACCCCACCGTGAGTTTCTGGAAGGCAGGTCTCAGTGGGCCTGGTTCAGGGGCAGCAGAGCAGGCATTCGAGGTGGGAGGGAGGGAAGGAGAGAACGGCCGGCGGGGTGGGTGGAAGGACAGACGAAAGCTGGACGGAAGGAAGATGTGCAGCCCCCGGCTGGCGCCCAGGCCGCTGACCGCACCCCCCACCTCTGCTTTCAGGCGTGGTGTTGGGAGGCTGCGGGGACAGATCCATTCGGTTCCGCCCCACTCTGGTCTTCAGGGATCACCACGCGCACCTGTTCCTCAATATTTTCAGCGACATCTTAGCAGACTTCAAGTAAAGAAGCCATTTCCACTACGCTCTGAGAAAGCCCCGATCTCAACTGTTGTCAAATTGATTAGTTTGCCTAATTCATGTTTTCACTTAAAGTATCAGAGGCGAATGCGTAAACTGAAGGGTTCTTTGTGGGGAGGGGGTGTTTGTGATGGCTTTGGGGGGTGGGGACAGGCGGGAAGGGCTAGTTTTGATTTTCCTCCCTGCAGAGCCAATGACGCACATGGGTCTAAGCCCAGAAAGTCTGCATGAGCCCTGGACATCGTCTTCAGCAGGGCCATGAGGGTCCTGGCCATATATGTGCCCACCTTGACCCCAACAGTGTCTTTGGAAGCCAGGAAGGGAATACAGCTGCACCCGGGATGGGGGCTGGGACTTCTGGGTTCCAGTCCCTCTCAAGTGCCATACTGCGTGATTGACCATGCGGGCTCCCCACATGGTCGCCCCCTCCCGCCCGGCTCTGGAGCTCTGAGAAGGTCCCATGCATAGTTCAGCAAAGGACAGGACAAATCACACAAGGGCAGGACAGTAGGAACATTAGGCTGGAGCTTGCAGTGTGGGAAGGGGTCCTGTGGCCTCCTGATGACTCGGGCCGCTCCACTCAGTGCATCTGGGGATCCTCTAAACTGTGAATTCCATCCTTGATGGGGCTTGGCCTTGGCCTTGGAGAATCTCTGGGTGGCAGCTCTGGCACTTCTTACTCGCCACTCTCCATTCCCCCAACTCTGTCCCCTCTGTTAAATGTCATCCCAGTCCTCGGAGGTGGGGGGGACTGCAGCCTGGGCATCCACGGGGAACACAGGAGCCAAAAGGGCAGAGGCACAAGCCAGTCACCCGGGAGCGGAAGCCCAGGCCCTGGGGCAGCAGAGCCACCTCCTCTTGTCTCCCCGGGCATCAGGGGTCTGACCCGTGGACCCCTCGCCCCGGGGGCCTCCGCTCCACTCCTGAGCAGGCCTCACTGGACGGCAGAGCTGTGCGAAGCTGTCCAGCACGGGCAACCAGTTGCTGAACTAGATTTCATGAGGGAAGCACCGTGAACTCAAGGCACCAGAGCACCATGCAGAAAAGATTGCCTGTTGGTTCAAGGTGGTTTCCTTGTACTTGCCGCTCCAGATTACAGGTTTTCCTGATGGAGAGCAGGATGTAACTTACCAGGCAGATGAGTTAAATGCTTAGTTGGACGGTGGTGGAGGCCAAGGGGCCTCTTCTGGAGGCGAGACATTCTTGGAACCGACTGGACTTCCGATGTCCTACAAAGAGCCTCCGGTTGTCCCCCAGCAGTGGAGTGGTGTTTAGTGGGCAGACTCGGGAGGCCCCGCTGTAACCCCTGCCCCGAGGGAAACGCTCTGCCTCCCCCTGCCGGCTCGGCTGTCTCGGGAGATGGACACACCAGGGTTTTCAGTCCAGCACTTTGCTCTTCTAATAACTTAATCATCCAAACACCTCAAGCTGGTGGTAGTGGTTTCTTTTTCTTTTCTGCTTCCACTGTTCCAAGTGGTCCTCAACCTACGTTTGTAGAGAAGGAAAGGCACTAGCATGTCTGACAGACGCGGTCAGATCCGTGGACTCTGGCGCACGCCGCATCTCGTGGTCCGTGCAAACCGTTGCTCTTCAGAAGGACTGTGTCAGTGTCAGTGTGAGGCTGTTTGCTCTGCCAGCTGAACGGAGGTGTCTGCCCCCCTCTCTGTGCCGGGTACCACTCGCTCGGATGGTCATCTCTCTATTCTGTCATTCCTTCATGGAACTTTCGCTAAGTCCCTCCCCTGTCCCAGGCCCAGCACTAAGCACTAGGAATACAACATGGTCCCTGCTGTCCAGGGACTCCCATCTCATCGGGGACCACAGACTCTTCAACCAGCAATCCAAGCCGAGTGGCAAGTGCTGTGACAGATGTATGGGAACGTCGGGAAATCAGAGGGAGTGCCAGGCAGGCTCAGGAGGTTTCAGGGAGAAAGGAACATTTGAGCAGGGTTTGGTAGAATGAGCAAGAGTTCTCCAAGCAGACAAGGCGAGGAGGAGTGTCACACAAAAGGGGACAGCACGTTCAAGGCACATCAGTTCACAGTCTCACACCTTCCACTGGGGATCCAGGTTCCACAGGCAATATCCCAAGATTAAGGCCTTATTTAACAAACAAATCAGATGCGAACCAAACCATAATTCATTTATTGGCATAAGTATGCTTTCTCTGGAGAACTTCAGCATTGGGTGCAAACATGCGGTAAGGTCCCGGAGTCCAAAAAGTTTTCAAGCCAGGGCGCAACTAGAAACTCAGCTCTCTTCGGTGGAGAGAGTGGCTATAAATATTTTGTTCTCTCCCACGGGGCAATCATAGAGAAACGAATCATTTTACCTGGAAAGTCATTTCCAGACTTATTCACTCCTTACCAAGGGAAGTTACTTCTCGTGAAACTTTTTAAGCCATTTTTCAACACACTCTTGTTGGCTCAGGGCATCACATGAGTTCCTGAGGCATCCTCTTTTGGGGGTGGGGGTATAGCTGGAAGAATCTGAAGGAAAAGACTCTCGGCAGGGCTCACAATTGTAGGGAGAGAGGTGGGTAAAAACGGGGAGCCCAGCTGACAGGTGGCTGACTAGGGTGGGGCCCGTGGAGTGCTTCTGTGGCCGACGGTCTGGGAATGAATCCATCGCTCATCAGTGCCATAGACTTTAGTAACTATCTCTAGCAAGTCTTGTCACTTTTACAGAAAACAAGGTCCTGTAATAGCAAGTCTTAGCACATCCTCACTTTTATTATAAATGGGTGTTTTTTTTATAATTTTTACTGACACTCAGTAACCATGCAAAAGTGTGCACAACATTAATATACCTGTATACCTATACCTATCTCTATACATACACACACACACACATATATATACACATACGTATATCAGCTCATGGTAGAGAACCATAGCTAGGGAGCTCCGCCGACTTACACATTCAAAGTGATCTTGTTTACAGTATTCTGTTGACAGTGCCAATAAATGATAAAGAAATTAACATGTCACAATGTAACTGATGACCATATGCACAATTCCGTGAATTAAATCTGTTTCCTGTTGTTAATCAGTATTCTTAATTAAAAAAAATTTATAATGGAAACATTAGCATGAACGTGGCCTTTTTGGGGTTGGAAAGTTTTGTTAAGTCATTGTCTGACAAGTACATGTTAAGCACCAATTACATACCGCTTAGGGAGGCCTTGGGGGATTCCTCTGGCTGCATAAGTCTGCCTTGGGCTCAGGAAGCACCGTGAGGCCATTAACCTCACCAAAGCTCATCGAGGACTTACCATGTGACAGGGGCACAGGGGTGGACAAAGCGTGGTCCCTACACTCAGGTCATCTTCCGGCAGGGCAGAGGTCATAGCAAGCCACAGTGTAGGGACCGGAATACAGGCAGACCCTGGCTGCTGTAGAGGCACAAAGGGCAGGTCCCAAAGTTGGAGTAGAAGTTAGGTCCCTGAGTTCCATCTTCAAGGTCAGGTCGGAACTGCTGCAGTGACTCTAAGGAGAGATGGAAGGCAGTCCAGGCCGAGAGCAAAGCTAACTGGAGGCACGACGGCAGGCATTCTGTGGTGCGATGAGAGAGAGGACCACAGGAGCCAGAGACCGGACCAAAGAAACAGGCAGGGCTCAGCTGCAGAGGGCCTCTCCTGCCCTGCTCAGAGGCACGGCATTTCCACACTGTGGCTCAGGCACCACAGGTTGGGAGCAGGAGGGTCACCCACCGTGCTGAGCGCTCCTGGAAAGGACGGGGAGGCCGAAAGACCAGTCAGGAATCTAGTACAGTCAGGGCAACTTGGCGGCCCGACCTGGACCAGGGCTCATGGGCTCCTGCCTTACCAACGCTCCCAGCTGTGTCAGCGACCCTGTAAAACTAGGCAAGGTGTGGGTCCCATCGTTTTCCAGGCTTCCTCCACTTTGGACACGCAGCATGTCTATAAGAGAATTCTCTTGGAAGATAAGATTTACCATTAAACATGTTTTTAAAATAATCACATATAGTGGGGCGCCTGGGTGGCTCAGTCGTTAAGCGTCTGCCTTCGGCTCAGGTCACTATCCCAGGGTCCTGGGATCACACCCCGCATCGGGCTCCCTGCTCAGCGGGGAGCCTGCTTCTCCCTCTTCCTCTGCCTGTCGCTCCCCCTGCTTGTGCTCTCTCTGTCAAATAAATAAAATCTTTTTAAAAATCATAATCATCACATCTAGTAATGATAGTTATCATTTGTTGAGCATCTACTATGTGCACGCATATTCTGCGGGATCTTTATAATTTTCAGGAAAACCTATGAGCTATGTATTCGTATGCCTGTTTTCAAGATGAGGAAACAAGCTCAGGGACGTTGGGGGAACTGCTGAAAATCACACAGCTTGGAAGCCAGGATCTGAAACACACAGCTGTATGAAAGACGGTCTATTAGTGTATAAACAAACGTGTGTGTAGACACATGCAGTCAGCTTCGGATTGGGTGAGGGTGGGGACTGTCTTCCACTCCAGGACCCTTCTCACGGCCAGCCTAGCTACCAGTCTGCCCACTAGCCTTGGAAAGTCAACCTGAACTGGTCGGCATTCATGTGAGCTCTTAAAGTAACTTACTAGAGTGGGTAGTGGAAGGCACCAAAACCTCAAGGTCAAACACTCTCTGTTCAAAACAGACACTGTTTTCTACTTTCTGTTCTCCTTCGGTGCTGGGGAGGCAGGATGCTGCGGGGGAATGACCTAACTCTGCTGCTTTCTAGCTTGAGCAAGTCTCTTCACGTCTCCGAACCTCCTCTACAAAAGGAGGCTGCTAACAGTAACGCTCGCTAGCACTTATCAAATACTCCCCTGGACCGAGCACTATTTTAAGTGTATTCCAGGTAGTCAGTCCTCCCACCACCCTAGGTGGGTGCTACGGTCATCGCTGCTTCCCAGGTGAAGAACCCAAGGCACGGAGAGAACTCCTCTAATGGGTCACAGCTGACCCACATACACTGTGGCAGGACATACAGTGTCCAAAGAATGATATATTTCTGTCAAAGTTAAGTTCCTACTCGTAGATACTAAGTCTCTTTCCCGAAACGGATACAAGCCCGACTGAGTGCCGGGGTCTATCTCAACTGTTAATCGGTGAAGCGGATGTTTTGGCACCAGCGTTGGTACAAACATGGCCAGGTGGTATGGTCCCTGATTAACTGGGCAGGATTTTATAGTTGAATGCCACAGGATCAAAACAAAGCCATAAAAGTTGGACTCTGCCTGGGGCTCAGAGGGACCCTGGTGCTTTCCACATGGGGACTCACAAGTCCTTAAGTCACAAAGCAGCAGCAAAACGAAAGCCCCCACCCCCGGTCGTCTGGGCAGTTCACCCCAGGCTGCCCCCCCACCCCCGCAAGCAGCAAAGCCCACCAAATGGGCGCTGTGAAGTGCACTAAACATGGTCCTTGAATGACAGAAGCCTTATCTTTGGTAACCAGGGCAGGGAGGACACCAGCTCCCAGCTGTGCACACTGTGAATGTCCCCGGATAGCGCCGACCTCACCGTGCTCTGGGGGACCACATCGGTCTGCTCAGGTGACTACGACAGAATACCACTGTTGGCTTACAGCCCCCCTGGTGAGCTTCCCGGGTGCAAACTGGAACTGGCCCCCAGGCACAGACGGCAGGGCGAGACTGGAGAGAGGCAGGCCACCCCAGACAGGCAGGAGGCAGGGGTAATAACTTACAAGGCTTGTCTTGGGCAGCTGCAAGATGAGGAGGTCTCCACACCCACCTGCCAGAATCTTAAGAGTTTATATGGAGGCCTTCACTGGGTTCAGGAGTGTCCACTGTGCAGATGGTCTCAACACCAACACATCACCATGTCAACGAAGTGTCCTTGGGCAGCTTCTGGAAACAGAGAAGTCAGGCGGAACCTGCATTCCAGGGACAGGGCAGGGGGTGAGGAGCCTCTGATTGCCCGGGGCCAGTTTGAGGGTCAACTGGCAGTCGTGCCCTCTTGATGACCTCCCCAACAACCATACACTGGACGGCTTAAACGGTAAGCATGTATTTCTCACAGTTCTGGAGGCTGGAAGTCCATGGTCAGGTTCTTGGTCAGGATCTCTTCCTCCGATGTCCTCACATGGCCTTCCTGAGGTCATACAGAAAGCCTCTTTATTTGTAAGGGCCCGAATCCCATCATGGGGACCTTAATCACCTCCCAAAGGCCCCACCTCCAAACACCATTACACTGGGGGTTACGGCTTCAGCATCTGAATTTTGCGGGGGGTATACACCTTCAGTCCATAGCAAGTACCGTATGGAAACGGACATGGTATAGACCACCCCACTACCTGCAGCTAAATTATACCCAGCCCAGGGCACGAAGGCGCCCAGAGTCCAGACAGGTCTCAGCAGACAGCCAGGAAAACCACTCTAGGAGGGACAAACATGACCATGTCACCAACGATCTCCACGACTGAATGTTTCCCAATGTCAGCTCAGCTTCCAAGTCCAGAATGGGAATTCATGGTGGAGAAACTTCTCTTCACCTAGAAAGCTGACTTGAAAGAGACCTTGTTTTTCACAGCATTTTTCTTCATTTGTTAAGATAGACAACATACTCTATCGTGAAAACTTAAATACAGTATCAGGTTATAAGGTTCAATGTGCACATCTTCCCTCCATCCTGTCCACCCCCTACCACCCCCAACCGTAACCACTGTGAACAAATTAGAATCTACGTGGTTTGTACAAACATAGAAATAAGACCACATGAGGGGCGCCTGGGTGGCTCAGTTGGTTAAGCGACTGCCTTCGGCTCAGGTCATGATCCTGGAGTCCCGGGATCGAGTCCCACATCGGGCTCCCTGCTCAGCAGAGAGTCTGCTTCTCCCTCTGACCCTCCTCCCTCTCATGTTCTCTGTCTCTCATTGTCTCTCTCGCAAATAAATAAAATCTTAAGAAAAAAAAATTTTTTTAAAAATAAAAAAAAAGAAATAAGACCACATGAAACTATACTGTTCTGTGACTTGCTTTTTCTTCCACTTATCATTACCCTATGGTTACCTTTCCACATCAGCAGATATAATTCAACCTCATTCTTTTCTTTTTAAGATGTATTTATTTATTGGGGCACCTGGGTGGCTCAGTCTGCCTTCGGCTCAGGTCATGATCCCAGGGTCCTGGGATCAAGCCCCACATCGGGCTCCCTGCTCAGCGGGAGGCCTGCTTCTCCCTCTCCCACTCCCCCTACTTATGTTCCCTCTCTTGCTGTGTCTCTCTCTGTCAAATAAATAAAATCTTAAAAATAAAAAAAGATGTATTTATTTATTTTAAAGAGAGAGCCTATGAATGGTGGGGAGGGGCAGAGGGAGAGAGAAACTCAAATAGATTCCTCGCTGAGCATGGAGTCCAACACGGGGCTCAATCCCATGACCTGAGCCGAAACCAAGAGTCGGATGCTCAACTGACTGAGCCACCCAGGCACCCCTCAACATCATTCTTTGTAAGGGCCATGTAAGACTCCATTGTATGGCTCTGCCAACATTTATTCACCCATGTGACCTACTCACAACTGTTAACTTCCAGTTTTGTCACTGCTGTTCATTCGTTTAGCTATTAGAAACATTCGGTGAACATCCTCGTAAGTCGGCGTGGGTATTTCTATTAGATTATTATTTTGGCGTTGTCGTCAAAGTGGGGGAATCGCCTATATATCCACTGCCTGAATCTGAAGGCCACTTGCATCTCCTGAGAAACTGCTTTATCATCTGCATGGCTTCCAGGCAGGGTAAATCCCAGAGATTCTCAAAAGCCCGGGTGCCTCGGAATTACCTGGGAAGCATAAAAATGCAGATACCCCAGCACCTACCAGAATCCACAGGGGTTGAGCACAGGTGAGCTTGGACAGATCCCAGGTACTGCCCCCCTGGCGTGCTGCAGGAGCCCTCGGGGGTCAAGTGAAGATCTGTGGTTCTGGCCCGGGGAATAAGGGGAGGGAACAACGCATTTGTTCCGTGTGCCCTCTGCTGGTGGTGGGAACAGACAGCACATCGAAATGGTGGCTCTTTCCTGCCACTGGTGAGAATGGGGCTCTCACCTCCAGTGTGGGGATGCTTCAGGGCAGCAATCATCAACCCAGGCTACACGTGAGAATCACCTGGGGGACCCGGGCAATAGCAGTGCCTGGTCACGGGCCTGGGCAATGACATTTCCTTTTTTAAGATTTTATTTATTTGACAGAGGGAGAGCAAGTGAGCATAAGCAGGGGGAGCAGCAGAGGGAGAGGGAGAAGCAGACTTCCCACTGAGCAGGGAGCCGGTAGTGGGGCTCAATCCCAGGACCCTGGGATCACGACCTGAGCCGAAGGCAGACGCTTAACGACTGAGCCACCCAGGTGCCCCTAATGGTATTTTTTAAAAAGCGCTCCAGGTGATTCTGCACATGGAGCCAGAGCTGAGAACCTATTCTTTAGGCAAAAAAATTTGCCCGGGGAACACGAAGTCCAGAGGCATGAGTTACTGTGGTGTTTTCTCTCCTGATAGTCCGTATCTGAAATTTCCAGCCTGCCTGCATTTCAGAATAGGCTTCAAGCTTGTCAAAAAGATTCTGGGGACCCATCCCACAACATAACCATAATCTCCAGGAGTGAGGTTCACTCAAGTAATAGCTTACAACTAGACCAACACCAGGGGTTATTTGAGTTAATTCTTGTCTTTAATGAGGTCAAAGTCAAATCATTAATACCTCTTAAGACATTTTATAGGGGTGCCTGGGTGGCTCAGTCAGTTAAGCATCTACCTTTGGCTCAGGTCGTGATCTCAGGGTCCTGGGATCGAGCCCCGCGTTGGGCTCCCTGCTCAGCAGGGAGTCTGCTTCTCCCTCTGCCTGCCACTCCCCCTGGCTTGTGCTCTCTCAAATGAATAAATAAAAAATCTTTAAAAATAAAAATAAGGGGCGCCTGGGTGGCTCAGTCGTTAAGCGTCTGCCTTCGGCTCAGGTCATGATCCCAGGGTCCTGGGATCGAGCCCCGCGTCGGGCTCCCTGTTTAGTGGGAAGCCTGCTTCTCCCTCTCCGACTCCCCCTGCTTGTGTTCCCTCTCTCACTGTGTCTCTCTCTGTCAAATAAATAAATAAAATCTTTAAAAAAAATAAAAATAAAAATAAATAAAAATAAAAATTAAAAATGATAAAAATAAAGGATCACTTTGGTGATCCCAGGATCCTGAGACGAAGCCCTGCATCGGGGCACCACGCTCAGTGGGGAGTCTGCTTGAGGATCCTCTCTCCCTCTCCCACTGCCCCTCCCACTCATGCTCTAGCTCTAAATAAATAAATCTTAAAAAAACAAAAAGCAAAAAGCAAAAACAAAGGATCACTTTGGCTGCTGTGAGAACAGACTCTAGAAGAGGAAGGATCATGGAAGCAGCAGGTTGCCACAACCCAGAGGAGACATGAGGGCGGCGTGGATCCGAATGGCAGGGGTGCACAGGGGGAGAAATGGTCAGCTTCTGGTCAGATTTTTGAGAGTCGGCCTAAAACAAGAACAACATGCCATTTCCCCTGAACAAAGAACTGGTGCTTCTGAATGGGTTGGTGGCTCCCCGGGACGCCCAGGCTCTGAGTCAGGGCTCGGGGAGAGTGTTCTCCTGCATGCAGAGCCCTTGTGTCTGGGAAAACCCCAGCTATGCCCAAATGGTGGGTGCCCAGCGTCCCCAAACACCTGAGGGACATAACCACACACTCCCCCAGACTAGGGTCTCCAACCACAGGAATCAAATCCACAAACCTACGACCTTACATGTGCATCTCTAACTACAACTGAATACAAATTACAAAGTGTGGTTTCTTCTTGTTTCTAAAAGACCCCACACTTTGGGGCACCTGAGTTGCTCAGTCAGTCAAGCATCTGCTTTCAGCTCAGCTCATGATCTCGGGGTCCTGGGATCGAGCCCCTGTCAAGCTCCTTGCTCAGCGGGGAGCCTGCTTCTCCCTCTCCCTCTGCTCCTACCCTCAGCTTGTGCCCTCTCTCTCAAATAAATAAAACCTTTAAAAATGTATAAAAATAAAAGCTCTCGCACTTCCTTCCACCGTTCTTGCCTTTCTCTGACCCTCCAGGCTTTCCCTAGCGCTTAGGATCAAATCAGGGTCGGCCCCAGCACATGCATCCCGCTCTTGCTCTTGTTCCTGCCTCCTCCTCACTGCGACCCACTCCCCCCTCACTGCTCCCAGTCACCTAAGTACGCATGTGCACTGGTTTACCGGCCGTCCTGCCTCCCCCAGAGGGACCCAAATCAGCCTCTTTGTGGCCAGTGCTGAGCAGGGCCTGGCACAGGAGATTTGGGCAGAATGAAGGGCTGATCTGGAAGCTTGCGGGAATAGTCTTGTATTACAGGCTTTACTTGCGCCTGTGAAATGGAATAAATTAACTAAGAAAACCAAACTTCTTTTGTGTTAGTGACAGAGGAGGGTAGGGAGGGAGAGAGAGAGAGAGAGAGAGGATATTAGGCAGGCTCCACGCCCCGTGCAGAGCCTGAAGCGGGGCTCGATCTCACGACTCTGAGACTTTGACCTGAGCCGAAATCAAGTCAGGTGCTTAACCTCTTGAGCCACCCATATGCCCCATGATATGCCACATTCCTTTGTAAAAACAGGGAAAATGTAAAATCTTTAAAAAAAAAAAAAAAGGGCGCCTGGGTGGCTCAGTTGTTAAGCAACTGCCTTCGGCTCAGGTCATGGTCCCAGGGTCCTGGGATCGAGTCCCATATCGGGCTCTCTCCTCTGCGGGAAGCCTGCTTCTCCCTCTCCCACTCCCCCTTGCTTGTGTTCCCTCTCTCACTGTGCCTCTCTCTGTCAAATAAATAAATAAAATCTTTAAAAAAAAAAAAAAAACAGGGAAAATGGAAATGACTTAAGTAGTAAAGGTTTAAGGACCAGCTACATCCACTCAGTGGAGTATTTTGCAATTTCTGAATTTGTTTTTACACAGAGTATTTAAATGAAAAAATCAAATCATCTCCACCTTTTGTTTTAGGAAAGGTGTGCTGCCTATTGTTTTCCCCAACTTTACTGAGCTATAACTGACCTATAACGCTGTACCAACTTAAAAATGTACAACGTAATGATTTATCTATGTATATATATTGCAAAACGATTACTACAACACAGTTAACGTCAGACATCTCAAATCGTTACAAGGTTTTTATTTTCTTGTGATAGAATATTTTTAATGGTTTACAACTAAAATAGTCTTGTATTACAGGAAGCAAAAAACCCAAACACTTCCAGGTACAGGATAACATCTATGTTTTTAGAAAAGCCTGGAAGCACAGTGAGACACCACTTCACACCCATTAGGATGGTGATTATCCAAAAGATGGACAGGGAGAAACTAGAACCCTCGGGCAGTGCTGAATATAAAATCGCGCAGCCCCTATGGGAAAGCCTGGCGGCTCCTCACAAAGTTAAACGTGGAGTTACCCTATGATCCGGTAATTCCACTTCTCAGCACACATCCAAAAGGACCGAAAGCAGGACCTCAGATTTCTGTAGACCCATGTTGACAGCAGCATTGTTCACAAGAGCCAAACGCTGGAAACAATCCAAATGTCCATCAACAGATGGATAAACAACATATGGTCTACACATATATTATTCAACCATAAAAAGGAATGAAGCTCATACACGCTATAGCCCGGATGCACCTTGGAAACAGGATGGCAAGTGAGAGAAGCCAGACATCACAGACCATGGGATGTCTGATTCCATCTATACGAAATGTCCAGAATAAGCCAATCCACAAAGACAGAAAGCAGATGAGTGGTCACAATGGCCAGGGGAAGTGGGGAGTTACGTTTAATGGGGACAGTTTCTCCTTGGGATGACGAAAAAGTTCTGGAAATGGACCCAGGTGATGGTTGCACAACGCTGTAGATGTACTTAATACCACTGAATTGTACACTGGAAAATGGTAAAAGGATAAATTTACATTCTGTATATTATACCTCAATAAAGAAGACTGGAAGTCCACACAACAAAACATGTAGTTATTTACTTTTGAGTGGCAAAATTACAAAGATCATGTCTTCCTTCCTCTTTACTCTGTTACAGATTGCATAACAAACATGTATTACTATTGAGAGGAAGGGCAGTGCATATAATTAGCTTTAGTTTATAAAATAATGCACCAGAATACAGTTCATATCACTTTAGCACACCGCAGAGCCTTCCGACAGGAGGGCCCCCAACGTCTGGGTGTTGAACACAATCTTGGCAGGGGCCGGGCCGATACCTGTCCCAGTCACTGTGCAGTCACCATCCTGGCGGGGTCAAATGACCCACCTCTATCTAGGCTTCTTCCTGGTCCTTTCTGGGGCTGAGTCCCTGAGGAGGGCCGGCACAGGGCTCAGGAAATCTCTCCTGACTGCTTGGAAGCCTTGCACCACACCATCACCTCTGCACTGACCTTGACATTTACTGTTTATTCTCACACCCATCCCATGAGACAGGCAGGATTTTCCCTTTCATGGTGTGACAACCAAGATTCAGCGAGACTCGATAACCTGCCCCAGGACCAGGAGTTGAGGACTGGGGTTGCTATTATTGCCAGAGACACAGGGAAGGATGTTTTAAGCTCATGTGAGCTTCACAGAAGCGCCCAAGCGTTCTCACTTGGAATCCTGTGCTCCCCCTGCCACACCTCCCTGCCTTCTGATTTCTCAGCTCAGCACAGCTTGAGTGAACCCAACATAGCTTCCTCCAAGAACTGGCAGTTAACAGAAACTTCTGGCCATTATCTGGCTGGATGTCACACACAAATGCAGTAAGAATTTGTACGAAGGACCACTCTCCTAAACCCAATTAGTAGCTCCTACCTCATGAATTTCCTCATCCCAAAAGACAAGGGCCTAGAGGCCCTGGCAAAGTCTCCGGCTGCCTGATCCCCTTCTTTGGCCTCACCCATGCCCTCGGTCTTCCTGCTGGAGATGCAGGCAGCCCAGGGCCACCTGGAGGCCCAGTTCCCAGCTCACTTGAGGGTGTCCAGCATCCCAAACACCTGCGTGAAACGCTCTCTGTCCAGGATGCGTCCGTAGCGCAGCGTGAGGTAGAAGCTCTGCTTCCCACTGTACTGCTGGAGGCGCACGAACAGCTCCTGGGGCCGGTCCGCGCTCTCCGTCATGGGCATCACGTCTGCCACGGGCCAGTCCGTGTCCTGCCGCCGGCCCCAGAAGGTCAGGTGGGCTACCCGCAGCACGGTGCCTGCCTCATTCACATACAGGATACCCACCAGCCTCCGGAAGAAGTGGCTCATCCAACAGAGCATGGCCAGGGCGAAGCCAGCTATCCCGCCCGCAAAGCACAAGGAGCCGAGAGTCACGAGGCCGTGCGAGTACCAGTAGAAGCCAGGGGGCAGGGCCAGCAGCGTCAGGGCCGTCTGCGCCACCTTCAGCTGGGACAAGTACCCGAAGGCTCGGATTGCATCGAACCGGTAGACCATCTGGAATTTCTCTGTCTCCGTGCCTGCAGGCTTCTCCTTCAGGGTGGGGGTCCTGCTCCCCACCTGCCTCCCAGGATCTTGCCCGGGGCGGCACCACAGCCCGCAGACAGGCCTTCTCCATGCAGCTGGGCCTGCCAACCGTAGCATGGCTCGGAGGAGGGCGGCCTGGAAGGGAGACAGGACACCGTTGCTCTCGAGAGCCCAACCACGCGAATCACAAAATAAACACCTGCAGAGCATCTTACCTGGAGGCCCCTGCCGATCCTGTGAGGTTGCTGTTATTACCAGAGACACAGGGAAGGATGTTTTAAGCTCACGTGAGCTTCACACAAGTGGTGCAAGAGGGGTGCCATTACAGTTGACCCTTGAACAACGCAGGGGTTCGGAACACCAACCCTCCAGCAGTCAAAACTCCACATACAACTTCTGACTCCTCGAAAACTCAACTACCAATAGCACAGCGTTGGCCAGAAGCCTTACCGATAAATCCATTAACACGTATCTGTTGTTACATGTATTATATACAGCATTTTTACAATAAAGTCAGCTAGAGAAAAGAATGTGATTAAGAAAACCGTAAGAGAAAATACATTTACGGTACTGTATTCGCGATACCATTAAGTTTATCTTGTTTCCAAGATGAATTGTCAGTACCCACATCAACACTGTCTTATAAGACATAAAACAGTATAGATAGAACAAATATTACTGACACTAGACACAAAAAGGAGAATAATAAGAAAGGGAGATGCGTTGTTGATTTATAAGGACAATGATTCACAGATTGGTAACAAAGCAGCAGTAATAGGGTTGCTTTATGGCAGCCTAGTGTAATCGATACTATTGTTTCCCAGGAGCCTGGTCTATATGCGAATGAATGAATCCTTATAAACTTCTGATGGCCTACAGTATATTACAGTCAGGTTCAGAATACAGTATCGGAAACAGTTACTTTTTTTAAAAAACCACTTAGCCATGATGATAGGCTAATAGGCATTTTCTCCAATTCCCGGGGGCGGGGGGAAGGGATGGAGGGAGGGGGAGGTAAGGGACACCCTGCAGGGTAATTAAATCTTTGAAAGCAAAAAGCAAAGTTACAAAACAGTAAGAAGACACACTGTTAATTTTATATTAAACATCACTCACCTTACAGCCTCTAAGGATAGGCTACCCACTTCCAAAGGAGATTTTCACATAAAGACACTCACATGTGCAACAGGGAAGTTTAACTGGACGGCATAATGACTATTCACTATTTATTACACGGAAGCGGATCAGCGGGTAGGTCTTCTTCCTTGTTGTCTTCCTGCTGAGTAGGCTCAGGGTGAAGAGGCAGAGGGGTTGGTCTTGAGGTCTCAGCGGTGGCAGAGGTGGGACAGGTGGAGGGGGCGGGAAGGCAGGCAGGAGAGGCAGGTACACTCGGCGTAACTTTATGGAAATACATAGTAACTTCTGTCTGACTTTTTTGCTTCTTCATTTCTCTAAAGATGTTTCTGTACGGTACCAATCCCTCTTCCACCGCCTGCTTTAGTCTCAGTGCCCGGATTACAGAAGGGTCCATGTTGTAAAAGAAGTCAAACGCCGTCTTGAATAATCGAAACCCTTCTGCCAGGTTGTCTAATGTCAACTTGTTTTCTGGCCCTGCTGCTTCTACATCTTCCTCATCTGGCACTGGTCCGGAAGCTCTCATCTCCACCGAGGTGCCTTCGGTTAACTCCTCTGGTGTGGGGTGTATGAGCTCTTGATGTGGGAACTCATCGGCGGCCTCTTGGTTGGCAGAAGCTGTTTCTGCTATCTTAACATTTCTTAAGCCAAACCTCTTCCTAAAATTATCAAACCATCCTTTGCTGGCATTAAATTCTCCAGCTTTAGTTCCTTCGCCTTCCTTTTGCTTCAAGTTGTCGTACAACGACTTTGCTTTTTCTCGAATCATACTAGAGTCTATAGGGATGCCTTTCTTGTAGCAATCCTGCACCCACATAAAAGCTGCATTTTCAATACGAGATAAAAAAGTATCTCGCAAAAAGTGCAAGGTCTTCGCGCCTGCTGGTGTAGCTGCCACAACGGCTTCGCGGATTTCCTTTTCTTTTTTTACAATGGTCCTCACGCTGGACTCATTTATCTTGAAATGGCGGGCAACCGCAGCTGCAGACTTCAATCTACAGTACATATCGAGCAATTCAACTTTTTCTTGTAACGTCATGACTTTTCTCTGCTTCTTGGAAGCACTTCCAGAATCACTAGTGGCATTTCGTATGGGTCCCATGGTGTTATTCAAGGTTTATGATATTGCACTAAACACGATGAAAAATACGCGAGAACCACGGGATCACTTTTTACTGCCATTTGCAATTTACCAGCGATGAAGTGCTCACGCAGAGATGATTAGCAACACACACTGTGTTAAGCACATACAACACTTGAGCTCACCACAATAGTAACAGGGGGTGGCTATGGAATTATTACAGTAGTACAATATGTGCTGTAGTTAATTTTATGCAGTTAGGATTTAATACTGCATCTTCATGTTTGTTTCTGTTTCTCTCGACTATGAATGATGCTGTGCAGAGTCTGTAAGTCTCTGTGTGCATTTTGATAAACTTCTTATAACTTGTGTATACTTTATGGTAGTAAATAAAATAAACTAGTATCTACCTGTATTTTAGGCATTCATGACATACCTTTTTATCTTTTCAGTAATTCTAGGCTACGCAGTTCATCTGCCAGGTTTTTCAAATTGTTGCAAATCTCTGAAAAATCCTCCAATGTATTTATTTTCAACAATCTGCATAGAAGTGGACCCACACAGTTAAAACCAAATTGTCCAAGGGTCAACTGTATTCCCACTTTACCACTGAGGAAACTAAACACAGAGAAGGTCAGAAATTTGTCCAAAGACACACAGCCAGTGAGTGGGGCAGAGTCTGACTCTCAAACTGGTCCTCTTTCCTTCAGGCAGTTCAAAGAGGTACAAGAAAGGTGGCGGCGCTTTCATCCATTCAAAAAATATCTAGGGACGGCCAACTCTGGGCTGGGCACTGAATGCATTAGGCTGTGGGAACATTTTCCCCAGCAGGAACCAATGTCCTAAAGGGTAACAAATCCCTGCGATACTTAAAATAACCTCCCTATTTTCTGTCAGGTTAAAGCACCACCTTCCGTGCTGAAGGGGAAGCGCTGTTTTCTGAGCCCAGTTGCGGGGCGGGGAGGCGCCAACCCGCAGCACAAGGGTTTTATCAGGTGCACGGTTGTTCAGTGAAAGATGCTCCGGGCTTGGGGGCCTGATCTGGGTTCCGATCCTGGCTCCTACAGTCACTAGCTGTGGCTCCTTGGGCAAGTTCCTCCACTTCTCTGGGCCTCGGTTTCTTCGCCTTTCACAATGGGGATTCACAACATACCAAATGAGACAGTGGTTTCAAAGCCCTCAACTGCACTTGGTGGACCCGAGGATCTGAGGCGCCGGGACGGCGCTCAGTGAATTTCAGGGCGCGCTACTGTCGGCCCACGTGACCCAAGCGCAGGCAGGCGCAGCACAGAAAGCCTTAACCTACGCCGGAGGTCCCCCACCCCCCGCGGATTCTCCGAATCAGAACCCAAGGAATCCGCCTGCCTGCCCAACCTGGACCACGACCCCCAAAGCGCACGACTTCCCGCAGTTCCCCGCCAACCGCCCTCTTACCATGGCCCAGCTGCCTGTCACCGGAAGTGAATCCCCTCTGTCCCCGGAACCTCTAACGGCGCCTGCTCGGCAGTAAGAGGACGCCGTGTTGGCGCATTGCATCCTGGGATTTGTGGTTCCGAAAGAATATAGGACGCAAGTCCCAGGTACCGTGGGAGTGGATCCTCCTCCTCCCAGCGTGCCCCGCGGCACGGGGGGCCGAACCCGGAAGTTCTGGGCCGAATTCCTGGTTGCCAACGAGTCCCATCCAGAGTGGATGGAAACCGGCGACATGGCGGCGTCCGGCCCAGCGCTGTGCCTCTTCGACGTGGACGGGACCCTGACGGCCCCGCGACAGGTAGGCGGTGCCCGGCGGGCTGGCGGCAGCGGGTGCAGACCCTCAGGGTGCTCGGAGACATGGGACGGGGCCGAAAAACCCTTGAAAGCGAAAAACGTGTATGGGGTTGGAAAACGCAGTTCTGGACTCTCACCGCATGCCCTGGATTTGAACCTCAGCTCAGCCCCCTTGCCAACCATGTGCCCTCCTCAGTCCTGTCACCTGTGAGCTGTACCTTGTAGCCTAATATGAAAAACATAGGTTTCCAGGTCAAACAGACCTAATAGTCTCAGTTGTACCCTCTTGACAGCTGTCTGACCTTGAGCAAGTCACTTAGCCTCTGAGTCTCAGCATCCACGGCTTTAAATGGGGACCTTCCCAGTTCCATATGGTGTTTGTGAGGGTCGAATGAAATCGAAAAAATTCATAAAAGTATCTTGGGTACTGTAGGCTGTGTTCAGTAAGAGTCAATAAATATTAGCCGCTGACACCACCCTCTCTCTCAGCCCCCTTCTCCAGCAGGAGTGAGCAGGGAGACCTAGATTTTTTCACACTGCCAGCTGAGAGCCCCCTTGAACTGCAGGAAGCTTGCTTCCCACTTCTAGATTTTGCTGCTCCAGGCATGGACATAGGCTTCAGTTAAGATCAGCATTTGTGATGAAGTTCATGCTGACCTCCTTGCACGGACTGGTCACTGAACAACCGCCATTCAAACTAGAGACTGGGCCCAAGTGACCTCACCAACTTCACTTTCTATCCCTACCTTCCTAATTTTGGCCGGAGGGTGGCAGTGGTGTGCTCCAGACGTCCACATTAGACGTGTGTGACTTCGGATAACATCATTTTGCTTTTCTGAGCCACAGGTTCAGTGTATCTAGTGATGAAACTCAACTGCAAGTTCTTCAGAGGCCCTTTCTGACTCAGATTCAGTGACCCAACCCACACTTCTGGACTGTTAGAGAATCTCTTGGCCATCTAGAGCCAAAGTCCACAACTCATTGTTTGTAAAGAGACAGATAGCAATAATTTATGTCTTTGCCAACCACATGGTCTGTAGTAACTACTCAACTTTAATGCAAAAGCAGTCATAGACCTTATGTAGACACAGCATGGCTGTGTTCCAATAAAACTTTATTTTTTTAAAAAGATTTTGTTTATTTATTTGACAGAGACACAGCAAGAGAAGGAACACAAGCGGGGGGAGTGGGAGAGGGAGAAGCAGGCTTCCTGCAGAGCAGGGAGCCCGATGCGGGGCTCGATCCCAGGACCCTGGGATCATGACCCGAGCCAAAGGCAGATGCTTAACGACTGAGCCACCCAGGTGCCCCCCGATAACTCTTATTTATTACAAAAACAACCAGCTGCTCAATTTGGCCCAGGGGCTGTGATGGTCTAGGGTTCACATTCCAAACCTATTTATATGATATCACTGGACCTTCTCAACCTTTCTCCCTCTTTCATCCCATGCAGGATAATTTCTGTTACCCATTTAAACATAAGGAAACCGAGACTCCATGAAACCATGACCTCGATTTCTCACAGCAAATCTAGTACAAGTCTCGGGTTGCTGGGTGTTGTTATTTGCTAAGTTTGCCATTTTCTGCCACCGCTCTAAGATGGGGGCTGTTCTGGCTGCTGGTTATGCCATTCCAGAAGGTGCTTCTGCCTTCCAGAAAGAATCAGGGCAGATGAGCATGAAGTATGAAATAGCAAAGAAACCCACAATGTATTCCCATAACACATTTGAAACATGACAGTCTTTGCAGCAAACTAATAATTTTAACACTGAAAAAAAAGAAGTTTAACAAAAGAAAGTTGTTTCTGTGTGCCGGGTGTTCCAGGTAAAAAATAAAAATATTTTAGCAAGAGATCTATTCATTATAGAATAATACCTTCCCTCCCTCAATACATGCATTCTCAAACACTGATAAGCATTCATCTAAAACTAATGATGTAATGTATGGGGATTAACATAAGAATAAAAAAAAAAACACTGATAAGCATATTACAGTCCAGAAGCAGAAGAATGGGTTATCTTACAGCTGCTGAAACACAATATGACATAAACAGATAAAATCTAATTAGAATGGAGTCCAGAGCTTGGCAATATCACTATAAACCTGAGTGAATTGTTTTCCGGCTTTATGTCATAAAAAATTCAAACATACAGGGGCACCTGGCTGGCTCAGTCAAAGGAGCATATGACTCTTGATCTCAGGCCTGTAAGTTTGAGCTGCACATTAGGTGTAGATATTACTTTTAAATCTTAAAAAAATAAAATTAAAATTAAAAGGAAATTCAAACATACAGAATCACTGAGAAACTAGTATACAGAACAGCCGCATCCCCACCACTTAAATTCAACGTCGATTGACATTAACGTTCTTTTTTATTCTTCGCTGTACCACTTCCTACGCTGCAGTCATCATGGTACTTCACCCCAAAATATTTGAGCCTGGATCTCTTGAGGACATCTGTGGTGACCATAGTGCCATCATCACCATCACCAATGAAAATTGTCACCAGTTCCCTCCTATTATTTAATGCCCCAGTCTAGCAGTCAGCAAACGTTTTTCTGTAAAGAGTTGAGACTGTGCCGGCCAGGTGGTCTCTGTCACAGCTACTCGGCTGTGTCCTTGCGGCCACAGACACCACGCAAATGAATGGATATGGCTGTGCTGCAATCATATTTCACAGACCCGACAGCAGGTCAGTGCCGGCCCACGCACCCTATTCTGCTGACTCTTCTTTACTCCCATCAGTTTTCCTCTGTTGTCCCCAAAAAAGTCTTTTATAGTTGGTTTTTTCAGAAGGTGAATTTTTAACATGCTTTGACCTCAGTTTTAAGCTTTTGGGTCTTTCTCTGTGTTTTATTTTGTCTAGGATGATTTATAAAGAATTCCTTGTGATTGGCAACACAAAAGTTATTTGGGAACATCACAACAACTTTGTGATTATTTTGCTCCAAAGATCTCTCCTGCAGTGGGTAGTTTAGATGCTCTGTTGTGCTCACAAGCAGCTGGGTCTTATTTCCTGTCAAAAAACATTTGCTGCCACTTGGAAGTGAGAAGGTGCCTTCTAATGCACACACATTGCAGACACACCTGATGGCCACAGTACCCCAGAGCTCATCAGTGTGCACAGGGGTTAAGATAAAATAAATTGCAGCTTTGGGTTCTGCTTGAAGATGGAAGTATTACATTTTTAATATTTTGCAATCCAGGGAATCTTGCCCACTTCTTGCCATTCTGACGTCAGGAGTCTTCCCCACTTCCTGCCATTCTGACATCATTCTGACATTTGGAGGGCTCCGGGACCCATTTTCACAGGCATTGATTCATAGAGGCCACTGGTGCACTTCTAGATTTTGTCTGCTAGGTCAAGATTGCACTGGAAGGTGTAGAAAAGATTGTGTTCTGTTATAAGCCCTTCTGTACAATTTTATTAATCCTATGTGTATATTACTCTAAAACAGTTTCTTTAAGAAAAAGAGAAGAATTGAACTCTAGATGTTTTTGTATTGAAGTTTTTGTTTTTAATTTCTGCTAACTTCATTTCTAAAGATAGCCCGTGTGTGGGCCGCCTGGCTGGCTCAGTCAGTGGAGCAGGCAACTCTTGATCTCTGGGTCATGAGTTCAAGCCCCATGTTGGGGGTAGAGTTTACTTAAAAAATAATAAATTAGGGGTGCCTGCATGGCTCAGTCAGTTAAGCATCCTACTCTTGGTTTTAGCTCAGGTCACGATCTCAGGGTTGTGAGATCGAGCCCTGCATTGGGCTCTGTGCTGGGCATGGAGCCTGCTTAAGATTCTCTCTCTCAAAAAAAAAATAATTAATTAATTAATTAAAGATACCGCATGTGAATATACAATTCGGATTGGTAAAAGTAACAAATTAACTTCAAAAAATGAATTGTGATTTGTCTTGGGGCGCCTGGGTGGCTCAGTCGGTTAAGCGTCTGCCTTCGGCTCAGGTCATGATCCCGGGGTCCTGGGATCGAGTCCCGCATCGGGCTCCCTGCTCAGCAGGGAGCCTGCTTCTCCCTCTGCCTCTCTCTCTCTCTCTGTCTCTCATGAATAAATAAATAAAATCTTTAAAAAAAAAATGTGAATTGTGATTTGTCTTAATATAGGAATATTTTTTCATGTTCATAATTTCTTTTTTTTTTTTAAAGATTTTATTTATTTATTTGAGACAGACAGAATGAGAGAGAGAGAGCATGCACATGAGAGGGGGGAGGGTCAGAGGGAGAAGCCAGACTCCCTGCCGAGCAGGGAGCCTGATGCGGGACTCGATCCAGGGACTCCAGGATCATGACCTGAGCCGAAGGCAGTCGCTTAACCAACTGAGCCACCCAGGCGCCCTCATGTTCATAATTTCTTTTGAAATAGTGCACAGTTTGGACTTTAACTAGCATAAAATTATACGATTGAGACCACTGTTGATAGGTAGGAGCTTTTCTTTTAGGAGAGACTAAAATCTAGTGATCTTACTTCTGTACTTTATTTATTTTTGGTTTTGTGTAATTATAACAAACCAATTCTGAACATCCTCTTTAATCTTATCGTGTTATTTTGTTTTAAAGTCAGCAACTTATATTTGTAAGTGGAGTACAGTATAGCATTTGAAAGGAATGCTCTAGATCTATGTGTATCGGCCTGGAATGGTCACCGCAACTCACTGCTCAAAACACAAGTCACTGCACAAGACAGAATGAGTCCTTGTGTTTCAGGGCACCTGGGTTCAGGTCGTTAAGCGTCTGCCTTCGGCTCAGGTCATGGTCCCAGCGTTCTGGGATCGAGCCCCGCATCGGACTCCCTGCTCAGCGGGAAGCCTGCTTCTCTCTCTCCTACTCCCCCTGCTGTGTTCCCTTTCTCACTGTCTCTCTCTCTGTCAAATAAATAAATAAAAACTTTAAAAAAATAAAAATAAAAAAAATAAACCAGAATCAGAGTACAACTTCTTTAAAAAAAAAAAAAATGAGTCCTTGTGTTTCAGAAATAAGACCTATTTGGGGCGCCTGGGTGGCTCAGTCGGTTAAGCGTCTGCCTTCGGCTCAGGTCATGATCCCAGGGTCCTGGGATGGAGCCCCGCATCGGGCTCCCTGCTCCGCAGGAAGCCTGCTTCTTCCTCTCTGACTCCCCCTGCTTGTGTTCCCTCTCTCACTGTGTCTCTCTCTCTCAAATAAATAAAATCTTAAAAAAAAAAAAAAAATCAGACCTATTTATTTGTGCGCATATAGACAAGTATATGAACGCAGAGAGGAATAGCTGGAACAGAACACAGCAGTTGTTAATATATTGCTTGTGTCTTTTAAGCTAGGTAAAAATAAGTAAAATTTAACACATTTTTCTCTGGTAAAAAGTTGATGTCCCCAAATCACAACTAAAATATTTGGACTTACTACAGACCTAGAGCCCGAATTGGCATATATGAAAGTAAGGATTGTGTCTCTCTTAGAGTTTTAGTCTCCTGGTTACTTTACAGCTCATGACTTTTTATTTTCCTTTTTGAAATGTAGAAAATTACCAAAGAAATGGATGGCTTTCTACAAAACTTGAGGCAGAAGATCAAAATTGGAGTAGTAGGCGGGTCGGACTTTGAGAAAGTGCAGGAGCAGCTGGGAAAGGATGGTAAGTAAACGCTACTTATTGTTCACGTTTGGTTAACGGCAGCTTCCTATGAGGACGTCAGGACCTGTGGCCCTTAAGTATCTTAGGCAGGCCCGAGCTCTCCTCCCCGTGTGGCAGGCTTCCTGCTGCCTTGTTTGGACAAACATTCTCTCTGCTTTTTCTTTCCTCTGTTTCTTAATGCTATAAATAAATTATAGCATTTTTTTTGCTATAATTTGGTGGTGGACCATTCGGGACTCAGATACATGGATGGGGTCGCCCAGATGTTTGAGTGTGTGTGTCACTGCCTGGAATGCTTCACGTTGTCCCCGTCCACTCTCCTAGCTCAACTCAGGCCCCATCTCCTGACCGTCCTTCTCACCCAGGTGTTGAGGTGCCCTCTGGGTCTAGGGGCCCCTCTCCGTTGCCCTCACACAGGGTCTCCCAGAGTTCCCTAATCATGAGTCACCCAGGCTCCTCCCCTGTCTATTAAACCAGGATCTCCAGCGCAGGACTCCAGGAAGCCAGGAGTTCTTACTGGCCCCTTCACTGGAGATGCTGAGGTCTTTGGGGCCTTTGAATCGTATTTTAACAGCCCCCCCGCCCCGGGAGATTATGATGCACAGCCCTGCTGGCAGAGCACTCTCTGCTCGCTGGAAACTATCTTGTTATCCGTCCGTTTTTCTTGAACACTACGACTATGGATTCCTCATCTTGTAACCCCAGGGCCTCCTGGGTGCCTGGCCTATAAGAACTAGAGGGTGGCGAGATGGATGAGTTGATCCTTCTTCTGGACACTGTTGACATTTTGGGCCGGCTCATTCTCTGTTGTGGGGGGCTCTCTTGTACACACTGTAGGATGTTCAGCAGCACCTCTGGGGCCTCCACCCATGGGATGCCAGGAGTACCTCCATGCCCAGTGTGACAACCAAAACTGTCTCCAGACATTGCCAAGTATCCTCTGGGGGGCAGTATCACCCCCAGTAGATAACCAGTGTTTTAGCTGTAATATCTTACAGTCCAAATCAGCGTAAGCTGTATGTATTGGATTAGTTACTCTGAGCATAATCTTTGCATTCTCTTTAAAGCTCTCTGTTCTGCTTACACTTAATTTTCCCTGTAGATGCTCTACTTAGAAACACTAGAAACAACATAATGGGGCACATTAAGCCCCAGAAATCCTGTTACCCGGCCCTGATAGCCCTTTCTGCCTCTGGCCATATTTTTAACCACAGGCTCAGAGAGGTTTTATGTCAGTGTAGGGCACTGTCTAGATTTCAGAGTGTGAGTCAAAACAACAGACTCAAAACATTCATAAGCTAGAAGAAAGTTGAAGACCCAGCTGTATCAGAATCACCTGGGGAGCCTGTGAAAATACAGATGTGAGGGCCCCCCCAAAACACAGGGCACCTGGGAGTCTGCATTTTAACAAGCAACTAAAGTTTGAGAACCCAGTTAGATTTATGTGAGTGGTCTCCAAATTTGGCTGCATGTAAGAATCACCTAAAGACCTTTTAAAAAAAATTGGGTTTTTTTAAATTCTGATTTTTAGCCTGGCCCTGCATGTTCTGATTCAGAAAGCCTGAGAGCAGAGCCTGGGAATCTGCACATTTTCATCACTGCCCTGGGGATGCGGGTCCACAGGGAGGCTTGGGGGCTGTCCTTGGCTCCCGTCTTCCTCTCCAGGTAGAGGGGGCTGAAGGCAGAGACGTGAGAGGGCCCACCAGCAAGTCTCCCATCTCCAGCCTGGCCACCGTCTTGTACATTTGTAATTAGAGAGTCTTTTTTTTTTTTTTATAGGTTTTATTTATTTGACAGAGAGGGACACAGTGAGAGAGGGAACACAAGCAGGCGGAATGGGAGAGGGAGAGGCAGGCTTCCTGCTGAGCAGGGAGCCCGATGCGGAGCTCAATCCCAGGACCCTGGGATCAGGACCTGGGCCGAAGGCAGACGCTTAATGACTGAGCCACCCAGGCGCCCCCGCAAAGTCTTTTTTAGAAAAAGAAATTTTTTTTTTTAAGGAGCTTTTTTCCCCACCTGTTGAACCTGTTAAGACGAGATACCCTTTCACAGTCCTTATTGGAGTTCAGTTTTATTGACGGTATGTGTTAACGAGAAATAGAAACTCCAGCTTCAGTTCTTTTCTTTTATTTCGGTTGCAGTGGTTGAAAAATATGATTATGTGTTTCCTGAAAATGGCCTGGTTGCATACAAAGATGGGAAACTCTTGTGTAAACAGGTAGGTTCTTGAGTATCCAGACGACCATATACTGTTATTAAAATGGTTTCTAAAAAGGTATTTGACATTGGGTGCTTCTGGAGAGGTGTATCTGGGAGGTGAGGAGCAGGAGGAGTGAATCCCTACCCCACATTCTTTTCTACATCTTGAATGTTGAACCATGTGACTATCACATATTCCAAATTGTGAACTAAATTTTTATCATTGTTTTTTAAGGATACGTAATCTGATATTTCTATTATGCGAGCAGAGACTAGGATAGACTGCCTCTCTACAAGCATTTTTAAGAGGTACTGTGTAGCTCTTATTAGTAACAAGATCATTCCACTCAGACATAAGAAAAAGTCTGAGGGAAACGAATACACTTTTTGTCAGTGTCTCTAGATATTTTAATTGAATAAAAGCAGCACTAATAAACTCTTTGGGCCTTCCATGAAGCTTTCGAAAGATAATGAGTACAAAAGTCTTGAGTCATGGAGCAGGAAATGCTTTAACTAAAGCCCTTTGTGGTTTGCCTTATGTTTGCAAGCAGGGAAAGAAGGAAAAAAGTGGTGGGGCGTGTCACCCTGGCCGCCACATCAGCCCAGTGACCCCCGCCAGTAGTGGCTGAAGCTCTGGGTTTGCTGTAAAGTTATTTTGAAAATGCGTCCCCCAAATCAAGTAACCCCAGTATTTTCTTTATCTAGAGTATTCAAGGTCACCTGGGTGAGGCCCTAATCCAAGATTTAATCAACTACTGTCTGAGCTACATCGCAAAAATTAAACTCCCGAAGAAGAGGTGGGTTTGCTTTTAGCAAAGAGGCTGCGTGCCCTAGCATGGGGAGGAGTGGCATTGGCTGGGTTGGTGTTGATTCCAGTCCTGGGCTCTGTGCTTAGTTAGTAAGACATTGCTGGAAACCTTCTAGTGGAAGAATGAATCCATAAATGATGGCTTTGCCACATGATGGGAGTCAGAAACTAGACGCTTGCCGAGGCTGTGGGTCCGAGGAAAGGCCTGTAAAACCGCAGTGTGAGAAGAGCATCAGCCCCAGACCCGGGAGTCACCCTGGAGGCCCAGGCCACACTCCACATGCAGCCTTGCTCGCTCGGCCCACGGTGTGACATAAAATCTGCATTAATTGCTGTCATTTGAAAGTCAGATTTCACGTTGTAAAATACCATCACTTCTGGCTTCTGTGGTCTCTGAAGACCTGTCATTTCAAATTCGCACAAGATCCCCCCTGAATTCAGGCAGCAGAGCTGAGACCCACCTGGATCAGCATTTGCCCACACCTCTCATCAGTCTCACTGTGCGCCCCACACACAGGTCACATGGGCGCAGGAAGGCTTCAGATGAGTCCAGATCCTCAGGGAGGAGTTGAACACTTGATAAACTTCCTTAATCCTAGTTTTTGAGAACAGAAGCCTTTCTAAAATGCATCAGCCTCCCTCCCTTGGGAACGAGAGTAATATTATGTCCTTGAGTTGGGGAGAAATCATCGAGCCTCTCTTTCTGACAGTTTAGCACCGCAGTCCTAGGGTCACCCCTGGGAAGGGTCACCAGGGTCCCTGTAGAAGGTATAGGGGACAGGGCTGGTCCATACCAGCTCCAGGACATCCCAGGTAGGGGACTCTTGAAAAAGCATCTTAGATGCACCTGTGTTGTATCATTTGCTTCTGTGCAAGTTGGGCACAGCCGGGGAGAGGATCCAGCGGTTGAGATTTTGCTGCTTTTACTTTACCTAACGAGTATTCATTGCTTCCCAGTTAACAAAAACTAGGACATTTGGTTTTCTCAGGACCCTTAGAGGTAACCACAATGACTACGTCAGCCCCTTTGTGAGGCTCCAGGAGGCACCCAGAGTCACACAGCCTCACAGGAGGCCGCGCTGGCCTTGAAGCAGGCCCTCAGCTCAACACTGGGCCGGGGTCCCTGGGATTTACAGGTGGCTGGTGGCTCGAGATCAGGACTGTGTGTGGAAGACAGAAAGGGCCGAGGGAAGAGGTTTGAGAGGCTCATAGGCATCAGCGTTTAGAACTAGAAGATACCTCTGGGTGCCTGGGTGGCTCAGTCGTTAAGCATCTGCCTTCGGCTCAGGTCATGATCCCAGGGTCCTGGGATCGAGCCCCATCCTGCTCAGCAGGAAGCCTGCTTCTCCCTCTCGCACTCCCCCTGCTTGTGTTCCCTCTCTCGCTGTGTCTCTCTCTGTTAAATAAATAAAATCTTAAAAAAAAAACAAAAAACTAGAAGATACTTCTGAGCACACAGTCACAAAACACTTAAATTGCATTGTAAGGATAAATAGCTCACAGTTATTTGAGCTTTTAAGAAACTATTTTGAGATTCAAACTGGAAACACGAGGGGATATGGGTTTTTTTTTTTTAACATCTTATTCAAAATAAGTAGTGTTGAGCTGTTCTCATTTTCTGTGATCAGATCAACCATTTAGTAGCGGCTGGCTGCAGTGTTTCCTCGGTAATGAGGGAGGAGGCTCGCCAAGCAGCCCTCCGAGCCTTTTCCCGTAGCTTTGTGTGGTCAGATCAGTGGGTTCAAGAGGTCACTAGCAAAGGGGTCAGGCGCATGAATTTTCAGACTCCTCAGGGAACTTGAGAGATGGTAATCATTTCCATAGCTCTTTTTTTTCTTTTATTTGACACAGAGAGAGAGAGAGCGAGCACAAGTAGGCAGAGAGGCAGGCAGAGGGAGGAGAAGCAGACTCCCCAGCTGAGCAGGGAGCCCAACGCAGGGCTCGATCCCAGTACCCCAGGATTATGACCTGAGCTAAAGGCAGATGCCCAACCGACTGAGCCCCCCAGGCGCCCATCATTGCTCTTTATTAATGATAAAATTCACTGTCCAACAGAAATAATGTGGGCCACGTGCAATTTTAAGTTTTCTGTAGCTGCATTAAAAAAAGAAAAAGGAACACCGAAATTAATTTTAATCGTGTTTTATTTAATTCATTATAGTCAAAATATTGTCATTTTAACACATAGTCAACGTAAAACATTTCGAATGAGGATGACATTCCTTCTTCATGCTACATCTTTGAAATCTAATCTCAGTTCAGATTAGCTGCATGTGGCCCGTGGCTGCCGTGTGGCTGAGCCCAGCCCTGTGAAATGTTGATCACACCAGCCCCTGCCTTCTGGAAATTTGAGCCTGTTTACCCATCTGTAACGTCGCCCACATAAATAATGTCTCTCTGGGGCCCGTCCCCTTTCCTCTCTAGGGGTACTTTCATTGAGTTCCGAAATGGGATGTTGAACGTGTCCCCGATTGGGAGAAGCTGCAGCCAAGAAGAACGCATTGAGTTTCACGAACTCGATAAAGTGAGCCCCTTGAACACAGCCTGGGTCTATGGAGATAAGATAAGATGTGCAGCCTGGCGGCCGGCGGCTGAAGGGTTTTTTCTGAACTGCCATGCACTAGATAATCGGTATCTTCTTGTTCTTCTCAGAAAGAAAATATCAGACAGAAGTTCGTAGCAGAACTGCAGAAAGAGTTTGCGGGAAAAGGCGTCACGTTCTCCATAGGTACCGTGCATTCAGGCGGGTTTCCTTCGGGCTTTGGTAATCGCTTGCCAGGGGGTTTGCCGGGGGCCGGTGAGCTCTTGAAATGGGACTGTGCCCGGTGTGGAGGTGGGCAAGAGGGGCTCAGGGGCAAGCACTCCTGTGTGGTCAGCCCTCATGGAGACTCACCCCAGCTGCTGGGTTTGGTTCTAAAGTCTCACCCGGCAGGATTCCTCCCCACACCTCTCCTGCTGGCCCAAAATAGCGCTCGGCCCAGTAGATTCTGGAATCTCATGCTGGGTGAGCAGCGGAGATCCTTAGCAGTCAGTTGGGTTGGTTTTACAAATCAAGAAACTGAGGCCCTGGAAGGAAAGGGGACTTGTCTGAGCCCACAGAGGTTGTATCTACAATGGCGGCCCAGCATGCAAACGGTTCCGGTGTCTGACGGACTTCTTCCTGCGGCACTGGCATCTTGGCCTTGGTTTTTGGTAGAATATACTTGTCAGACACTTGAAGCGAACGCTGATGAGTGATTATGTAAAGCCCTCTTGTTTTACCACTTCCGCTAAGTGTACAGTTGTAGGAAAACCAGAATCGCAAAGGGATTATGTCTGATAGACAAACGGGTAGATGTTCAAGTGTTCTTGAACTGCAAGGTGAACGTCTCTCTGACAAAGCTTTCAAACGGTTTCATCGCTCCTGAAAGCTGCCTGCAAATCACCTTCCACATGCTTTTCCTTTTCCCTGCAAGATGAACTGCATGCAGCCTGCTTCTAGGCCTCGTCCCCTGAGAGCCAGAGCATGTTAAAGCTCGGGCCGGCCCAGCTGAATGAAGCTATTATCAGCTTTTCCACCAGTGCTTCATTTAGACCCATGCGCTTGGTGCAGCACTGAACACAAATGCATTCCTTGTTCTGAGCTGGTGGTCTGTCTCGCTTTTCGATTTTAGGTGAAACAATGCTGGAAAAAGCAATGTCATATTAATTTCTAGAACTGGTCCCTAAAGTAGCATAAGTAGCGAACAAGGGTGTTAAAAATCAAAGACCTTGGCCCTCCACTTGCTGCGAGTAGGCCACATGTTCTTTTCAGCAAAGTGCTCTTCGCCTCCTTTCCACCTTTAGCTTTTGTGTCTTCCCCCCTTTCGGCAGGAGGCCAGATCAGCATTGATGTCTTTCCTGAGGGCTGGGACAAGAGGTATTGCCTGAGACATGTGGAAAATGACGGCTATAAGACCATCTATTTCTTCGGGGACAAAACCATGCCAGTAAGTACGGGAGCATTATTTTGGAGTTGGACTGTTCGGTTTGGGCTGGAAAAGGGGACATGGACACATGGGCCTTTTCCCCTCCCCCACGCGGTACGCACTGGCCCAGCTCACACTGAGTGGGGGCTTCTGCAATTCAGCCTCCCTCCCTTTGCACTCCCACACCGGACGCCTCGGTGGAGGCAGAAATGGAGCTCTTTGGAGGCTCACTTTGCAGCCTTCCAGAACATCTGCCCCAGTGCTGTCCGATCCTTTGTGCACTTCCAAGCTCTTGGCCAGTTTTATGTCATTTTTCCACTGTGTTTTTCCCCCAGGGGCATTCATTGTGAGTTGGGCACGAGGCATCCTAAATGGTAGGAAGACAGGAAATCTCACTAGTCTGAAATTCAAGAGACTGTGCCCAGGGACTGTTTAGCAGTGGACATCACACACAGACGGTTTGGGGAGCTGTTCCCGTCGGAAGTCCCAGGTCCCGGACTGATTCTAAATCAGGGCTGAGAGCAGAGCTGTGTCAGACCAGCACCATTAGGAGGACTACAGAGAGGGATTTCCCCAGAGCCACTGTGGCAGCAGGATGGGGCTCTCCTTGGGAGAGGTGGGCCCCGAGAGGAGGTTCGGCACCAGCCACTCACTGCCCAGCCCTGGGCCTGTCTCCGGGCTCCTTTAAATTCCTGCTTCCCTTTACACACTGCCCAGTAACGGGATACCTTGCCATCAGAGGTCCTGGTTTGGGCTTTGTGGCCATCCTGCACCCAGCAGGTGTGTCCTGGATGCTGCACATTCAGAGTTTTCTTATCCCTCTGGTCTCTGGTCCACTGCAGAGTACTTGCCGCTCTGCTGAGGTTTCTGGGGTGGACCTACCTGCCTTTCAGCGAGGTCTCTGCATATGGTTTTCTAGCATGAAAGGGACTTCTGATCAGTAAAGGCTCGTGTCCATCTCTCTAAATGATGAAACCAGGACTTGGGCACCTGGGTGGCTCAGTCAGTAAAGCATCTGACTCTTGATTTCAGCTCAGGGCATGATCTCGGGGTCCTGGGGTCAAGCCCCACAATGGGCTCCCTGCTCAGCGGGCCGTCTGCTTGTCTCCCTCTTCCTCTGCCCTTCCCCGTGCTTGCGTTCTTTCTCTCTCTTAAATAAATTAATAAATCTTAAAAAAAAAAACAAAAACAGGACTCAGAAAGGGTAAGTGACTTATTCAGGGTCACACAGCTCACGCCAGAGCTGGTGGCACCAGAACAGACTACTTTGTCTTTAAGCACATAGGCTTTCCAGTCCAACGGACCATCCCTCCATCGTGGTGGGGAACATTCTCTTCCAGTTCCCAGACCACCTGGTACTGCTTTTCAGGAGGTGTGGCCTTTCGCCTCGTTCTTAATGATGGAGAGAAGCGGTTTACAACCGCGTCCATTTGTTGAAATTCTTCGGCTGCAGAAATACTTTGAATGCAAGCTTTGAAACAAGCCTCTGTCGGACTTGGATGTCTCTTGAGAAAGCAAGCTCACGCACTCACACGTGGGATCCCAGGGATGGCCAGGTGCCTCTGCAGCCCTTCCAGCCCCGTGCCAGCACTGGGCTGGGAAGAGAGCTGTTGAGACCGGCGAAGCCAGGTTCTTAGTGATGACACTCTTGCTGTGTGCACATAGCTGTCAGAAGCCTCAGCTGGGACTTTGCAGAATGGAATGCGGTTCTTGAGATAAGCAGAGAATGCCTGCTTTGGGGAATTCTCCATCTGGGAATTAGAGCGTTTTCTGGGCTGTTCAGCTGCTACAGGACCACACACTCATTCTGTTTGTTTGGTTTTTAGTTCTACCTACTTTTTTTTTAAAGTGGATACTAGTTACGGAGGTGTTTTTCCCGATTCTTAATGAACATAGTTCATCGTAGAGCATTGGAGAAAGTTGGAGGGAGAAAGTTTGTCATGTGTGGTCACGCCTCCCAGCCTTTTCTTTGTGGGCATATGCGACCCCTAAAGTGGACCCTGCATTCTCATTATTTGATTTTCTGCTTTGTTCTCAGTACGAATTTTATTTCCCCATGTTAGTGAATATTCTTCAAAAACAAGGTTTTCAGGGGCTGTATGACCCGTTTCCCCAGCAGAGGCCCTGGGACTGTGGTTGTTGACACCGTGGTGACAGTTCTCTGCCCTCTCTGACGCTGTCAGTCAGTGGTTTCCTGGAAATGGGAAGTGACAGTCCAGCCGTCTAAACCTTTAAACAGGCATAGAGCCTCCCAAACACTAGCTTTAAACTTCTCGTATTCAGTGATAGATTTTGAAAGCTGTTTCCTTTCTTTGCACCAAGGCAAATGTTCTTGCTGGTTTCCAGGGAAACAGCACTTGAGCTGAGAACTGTCAGTAAAAAGCCATTTCCCAGGCGTGCCTGGGTGGCTCACTCGGTTAAGGGTCTGGCTCTTGATCTCAACTCGGGTCTTGATCTCAGGGTCATGAGTTCGAGCCCCATGTTGTGCTCCATGTTGGGCGTGGAGCCTACTTAATTAAAAAAAAAAAAAGCCATTTCCCTGCCAAGCACCACAGGCTTAGAGGCCTGCCTGGCAGCCTCCTCAGCCCTAGCAGCCACGTCCATCTGGCGGGATCGGATGTTACACAGAGCCCCTCCCCCCTTCCCTGCTTGGAACACCCCCAGAGAGCAGGGTGAAGAAACTAGACGTTGGCCCTTGCTTTTCTAAATGCTTGTCAGTCCTGGAAAGCCCCACCCCCGCATTCCTGCCCATCAGCCACATCAACCAGGGTCTGTTAAAACGCAGCTCCAAGTGCAGCCTCGAGGCTCTGGGCCCAGCCTGGAGTGCCTTGGTTTGCTGCAGGGAAAGGGATGGCCAGGGCACAGAGAGGCACCCCACCCTGCTTTGCATGGCTTCGGGCAGGGGGGAGACTTAGGCAACTGACTCCACCACCACCACCCCCAGCCTTTCCATATTCCCAGGCTAGACAGCTTCCGCTGGTTTAATGCTTCCTGGCTTTAAGGCAGTTGGAACATGAAAACATTCTAACACGTCATGAACATCGACAGCTGATTGACTTTTTGACTCAGCAGATCCTTTTAGGTGATTGAGCTCTCTGGGGGGCACCCTGCCCTGCTGCGGGAGGGGACTGACCAAGTACACGGCGGCCCCGCAACACGGCGGAATGCCCCATGGCTGTACAAACCACTGATGCAGACCGATCTCTGGGATGTTTTATCAGGCGAGCCAAGTAAGGTGCAGAACAACAGAAGTAACATGCGCTACTTTTGTCTAAAGAAGTGGAAGTAGTGTCTCTTCACGTTGCTTGTAAGTGCATAAAGGGAATGTGAAGGGACACCCAAGAAAGCAGATGACAGACCTCCGGAGGGCCAGGGACAAGGATGGGAGAGACACTTAGCACTCTGTCCCTTTTTTAAATTTTGAACTCTGTGAATGTGCTATCTATTGAAAAATAAAGCTTTAAAATATCAAATTAAGAAAACTAAATTCTTTCGCTTCTAAAGCACTTCAGTCTCAGATCCTGAGCTGGGCACTTAGACGTTCTGTCCTCTGGTCCTTGGGCAGCCTGGCGGGGAGCATGGGACGGGCAGCAACAGGCTCCGTGTGGGGCGGGGCTCAGTGCAGGGTCAGAGACCGGGTGGCATCCAAAAGCCTCTCGTCATTCTCCCACATCGCCTCCAAACTGCTACTTAATCATGCAATACTTGGTTTTCCACAAATGTTAAAAAGGAAGATCTGTCTTTATTTTTTATTTTTATTTTTTTTAAGATTTTATTTATTTATTTGACAGAGATAGCAAGAGCAGGAACGCAAGCAGGGAGAGTGGGAGAGGGAAAAGCAGGCTTCCCGCCGAGCAGGGAGCCCAATGCGGGGCTCAATCCCAGGACGTCCTGGGATCATGACCTGAGCCTAAGGCAGACGCTTAACGACTGAACCACCCAGGCGTCCCAGGGAAGATCTGTCTTTAAAATAAGCTTCAAAGAGGTCCCCATCGGCCTGGTGGGAAGAGGCAGCTTTGAAACCCAGAAGACCCAAATCTGGCCCCTGCTGCCCACACGGTGACCACACACGTCTCTGTATCCGTGAGCCGCGGTGCCTGTCACCTCCGTGGGCACGCAGTTCCTCTGAAGCAGTGGGAGGAAAGGGAGGTTCTAGAGGGAGGGTGGCCCAGGAAAGGCAGCAGGACTTGCCTCTCCCAGCAGGGGAACCAGCCGGCTACCAAGTCTGCAGCTTTTAATAAAGTTTAAGAAAAGCTCATCCAGTATGAGAGATTGGAGGCCTACAGGGTGGGCGGTGTGTGTAAACCGACGAGCCTTGAGTTCCTGCTCAGGCTTTAGATGGAGTTGGCCTTTGGCCATGACCTGGGTGTCCTCGCCATGCCTGGCATCTCCTGCGCTCACTCTCAGGATGCCTGAGGGCCGATGAGGGCACAGAATGTGTCCTATGCGCAGACCTGCCCTACTAGTGTGTTTCAGTGCGAAATCTGAGACCCAGGTCTTAGGGGACTAGTGGCAGGGTTAGGTTAGCACGGAGAGGGGAGTCCCTTGCTCCCAGAGAGGCCCCCAGGAAAATTGCTGCTCCCCGAGATCTGACTGAAGGAGGTTGGACCGGGTTGGATATTCTCCACGCAGCTGAGGGGGTGCAGCCGGCTCCCTTGTGGGAGGACGGGAAGCAGGACACCGGACAGGGGTACCATGGGTACAGGTGCTTGTTGGGGTCCCTGCTGACCCGCCTTCCTTCTGTGGTCTTGTCGCGCCTGAGATCGGGGGAGGACTGGCTGGATAAGCCCTGAAGAAGGAGTAGCCCCTGCTCTAGCTCTTCTGTTCAGGGGGACCCCAGCTTCAGGCCCCTAGAGTGTGGCCGGCCCTCGGGGACTCCCCTGGTACGGTCACTGATGTCTATAAATCAGCATTTTCTGGATGCATGTCTGTGCCCAGGCCCCTCACACAGTGCTCAGCCCCATTTTTGTGAATGAGGGGATGTGCCGGAACCAGGAGCAGACCCAGAGGGTCACCCCGGGGCCATTAGCAGGACAGCAAGCCAGCTTGCTTTCCACCACACCCCAAGCTGGATAGTCATCAGATTGTAAGCCACTGGATCCCATCCTGGAGGTACGTTGGAATCACCTAATTGTTTTTAAAACATCATGACCATGGGGCCAGGCTTTTTTTTTCCTTTTAAGCTTAACAGTTGACTTCTTTCTAGGAAAAACCAGTACAGTTATCTAAGGGCATACGTTTTTATCAAATCTGTCTGAAAGTTGTGGCAGTTTTCATCCCCAGCTAATGATCACACGTTGAGAAACAGCTACATACCAGTCATGCAGCGCGCACTCAGATCCGTTTGGCTTCCCACACAGCGGCCCGCAGGCTGGGGACACTGGCCCTGGAAGTGCTGGTAAAGCTCCCGCAGTGACTGTCACCTCAGCCCAGCGAGCACGGCTGCCCCAGGGCTTTGAGGCCAGAGCCCTTTTCCCTTTGGCCTTTGTACCCTGATACCTAGAAATTTGATCAATCCCGTTACATTGCCAAGAGATTAATGTCCACGTGCGGCAGGAGTGGACTCCCAGCCGGAGGGGGTCTGCCTGAGCCCCAGATGGCTGGTCATAGCAGAGACCCTCTCGAGGTCTGGCGGCCTGCCCAGCAGGGCCCACCGGCCGGGGAACTTGATCTGTGTTCCCTTCCTCAGCTCCACCGTCAGGATCCTCAGGCTTCACCAGAAGCCCCCCATCAGCTCAGCAACAGCGTGTGCGGAAACACAGCCTGGTGGCAGGGAGACTGGACCCCACGCAGAACTGCCTTCTGGTTTTCTGTTGCACCCTCAGACTTGGGCCTTGTAGGGATTTAAATATTAATGGTCTGTTTGCACTGAGCTGCAGGCCTCTCCTCTGGGCCCTCAGGTAACACGATCTGGCATCCGTTGCTTCGGCTTTGTTCCCTTTGTCTTAATCTAGTGTGACCCGTGGTCCCTGTGCAAATCCAGTGTTTGGAATTTTCAGTTCTCTGAAGCCTAATTCTAGGGGAGGGCGCTCACACTAGCTCACTTTGTGCTTCTGCTTCTCCCGACCTCCCTCTGACTCTGCATGCGAGCCCTGTACAGCCCCAAGGAGCCACAGGGGAGGCCAGGTCCCCTGGCAGGAGAGGAAGTTAAAGTCTGAGGTTGGTGGTGGTGGTGGTTCCAAGACGCTCTTGCCAACTTTGCTGAGCCCAGACAGAGCCCAGAGAGCCGGCCCTGCATGGACCAGGTCTCCCGGGAGGGACAGGCTGGGTGGCTGCTTCGGACTCGTTCCCTGGGGAAGGGCGTCTGCCCTCCTACCCTGGCTGGCTGTGCAGCCTCCTAACTGCGGTGCTTCTGCTCGTCGTCCTCTTCCCCCACCTTTCCATCCTCCAGAAGGTGAATCTGATCGTGTCCCCAGGTGGCAGCTTTCCTGGTGGCTTCACATAATATCCCAAGTCCTTACCTCCCTGGCCTGGCGGGCTGCTGAGCTGCCTTCCCAGACACGGCTTGTCCCCTCACTTCCTCTGCTCACAGGTGCCTCCCTTGCCACCCCGGGTTCTCTTCCCCTGTTGTCTGCCCTGCGGAGTTGTTCACCTCCGTCTCCTGCCCTCTCCCCGCCCCCGACTCAAGCTGTGAAGGTGGTCCCTACCTTGGTTTGGTTTGCCCAGCAGGTAGTAGTAGGTGTTCCCCGGGCTGGTTGGGTTCATATGTGAATACAGACTCCTCCCTCCTGAGTGAGTGAGTGACAGGGAGTGAATGTGTCCCTGGTAGATGCTGGGTTTTTCTGGATAATGCACGAATCTTTTTTCTATGTTAGGTTCTCTGCATTAGTTTTTACCTCCCGTGCTATTCGCAAGAGGAATCCGACTTTAATTCTAAGAATTGCATGAACTGGTTTCACGTTTACTTGCTTAGGTAGCACATGGTGGGCGTGCCGCTCAGCGCTGACCCAGAGCCCCTTGACAGCACAGAAATCTGTGAGGCCAGGGCCGGACCCCAGCAGCTCCCCCAGTCAGTGCTGGGAAGGGACCTTCCCCGACATGGCTCCCAAGTTCGTGGCCCCCTAACCTGACTCCTACACCTGGCGCACTTTGGGCCCCGGCAGCAGCCCCTCCTAAAGTTTGGGGAGAGGTTATTCTCACAAAAATGAGAGCAGTAGGAATTACCGTGTCCATCAGTCCTTTATTTTTTTATTTTTTTTATTTTTTTAAAGATTTTATTTTATTTATTTGACAGAGAGAGACCAGCGAGAGAGGGAACACAAGCAGGGGGAGGGAGAGAGGGAGGAGCAGGCTCCCCGCTGAACAGGGAGCCCGACGCGGGGCTCGATCCCAGGCCCCTGGGACCATGACCTGAGCCGAAGGCAGACGCTTAACGACTGAGCCACCCAGGCGCCCCTCCATCAGTCCTTTAAAGGGATGTCAGATTTTTCCTGTAGAATCTTTACGATAAAAATCCATTTTTGTCTCTGCAGTCATTTTCATCGTATTAGAAACTAATTGATTTTTCCAAGGAAAACCTAGGGAATTGCAGGAGAAGCAAAGCAGGGGCTTTGCTGCAGCTCGGGTGTGGGCACGGCAGGAAGCCTGCTCCACTCACCCGAGACCAGGGGCAGGGTGGGGGTGCCGCACGGACCGGAGGACCCACAACCACGGGACCCCCGTGATGTGCTGGGGCCCGGCAGAAGCAGTCCTGCCCTCCACTCTTGGAAGTGGCCCAGGGGAAGTGCCGTGTGCACACACCTGGAGCCCCATGAGCTGAGGGGCGGGTGCTGACCTGGTGACGCCCACAGGGCTGCGGGCGGGGTGTGGCGTTACCGCTCCTCGGCGGTACAGGCCGGGTCCACAGCTGGGCCACCCGGCTCACACGCCAAACACACGGACTATTTAAATGTAAACGAATCAAAATCAAACAAACTCCATTCCTCTGTGGCCGTGGCCACATGCCACCAAGTGCTCATAGTCACCGGTGGCTGCTGTCAGCTCGGAGGCCGGCCTGTCAGCATCACCGCAAGGTCCAACGGCAGCGCCGCGGTGGGCTGTCAGCCCTGCCACACTGCCTGTGACAACAGCTTGGGCACGGTTAAAACACGGTGGCAGAGAGTGCCATCACCTGCCGCGCTTGCCGTATAGAAAAATAAGCCTCAGACAGATGTTCACAAGAGCGTCGTGATTTCTTTCATAGGCGTAATTACATTCCAAGCTAAATTGCAGTTCGAGGGAAGGTGATGAAGCCTTTCTCGGTAATGCCTGTGCTCGGGCTGCTACTCTCCCGGGGGGCTCAGGTGACCGGAGCCGGCCTCCCTGCTGGTAAAATCGCCAGTTCCTCAGCTCCCCGGCTGCCTGCGCCCAGGGAAGCAAGGCGCCCACATCTCCTTCGTGTCTTTGCAGGGTGGGAATGACCACGAGATCTTCACCGACCCGAGGACCGTGGGCTACACGGTGACGGCCCCCGAGGACACCCGCAGGATCTGTGAGGAGCTGTTCTCCTAACGGCCCCTTTCCCAAAGGAGGGCAGGACATCCCGCTGACAGGCTGCAAGGGCCACTGGTGGCCACACTCAAGATCCCTCCCTCCCTCACACGCCAGGCTCCCCACACTGTCCTGTGGCCCCGACCACGACGTGGCCTCCACCCTCAGTGCCAGAAGCAGCCAGACCTGTCAAGAATGGCCTGAAGGAATACCTCCAACCCGATTTCATCCCCCACCCCCAAGTCTCAGACCCTCCGTACGTGCAATCACAGTACACACGGTTTTGAGGGGAACCTTCCCCATCATTCTAGAATGATACAGAACGAATGTGCCTGGACCCTCACTCCTCATGGGTCTTGTGAAAAATGTAACCAGTATCAATGTTTGGACCCCCTGTGTCAGTACCGACGGGGGCATCAGGTGATGAGAAAGGACAAGATGTTTACAGCCATCCCTCCCCAAGACAGAAGTTCAACAGCGCCTCCGGAGGGGAAGCTCCTGCCTGAGTGGCAGCCTGGGGGGACTTTGAAAGCGAGGGCCCTGTGGCCGCCAGGCAGTACTGAGCTCAGCGGCACATGGGACGCAGACGGGTGGCCGCCAAGTGACCACTGACCCCAACGAGTTTGCACCTTAGCTGGCCTGCAGCACGGCAGGCAAGCTCTGAATTCACTACACTTAGGAGAGCCCACTGCGCCTCCGCCTGTCAGGATGGGAGCAAGTGGGCCCCATCTGCCCTGCCCCTGGATGCTGGCACTGGCTGGCTCCCCGAGGGCCTCACTCCCCTCCACTTTCTCAGGGAACACGTGAGAGCCTGGATCGTTAACAGAAGAGGAGTGGCACGGCTGCTCTGCAGATCTTTTCGTGAAGCTGCAGGTCTGCCCGGCCTCACCCAGACCTGGACCTAAGGGGTGGGAGCCGTCCGGTGGTTGGGCCTGTGACCCCCACTCGTGCTTCGAGTTCTGCGAGGTCCTTGTGCCACTGGAAGGCAGCTCCAGGGTCCCGTGGGGGAGCGCTATCCAAGGAAACGGTTCACAGGTCACTTTTCAGAATCTGGACTCGTCAGGACCCACAAATCCTCAGTCCACTCCAGTCCACAGCACGGCCTCTGCTCAGGGCTGGCCGATCTGAACGGCGGTCTGCACCCCCGCCGCCCCACCCCCACCCCACCAGGTGCTTTCATCTCAGCGTTCGCTAGGTCCTTCCAAGCCTCCCAGGACCCCCCCCCCGGGCTGGTCTTAGCTTGGGGTCTGGTTGGGGGCAGTCTGCATGACCACACCCAGGGCTGACGTTGCTCCGTGGTTCCCAGGACACAGCCACCCAGGGGTACCTTTCTTTGTTGGATTTTGCAAATGATACTGTAATGACCTTTCACAATGAAAAGCAGCAAATTAAAGTTGATTTTATTGTTTCCCATTTCTCATTCTGAGGCCTTTCTCCTTCTTTGACGGTTACATGAATGGTGAAGTGAATGACCAGCCATGCTGTCTTCTCAGATTCTGGAAGATCGGCAGATCTGAAGGCCACTGCTTCGGACACTGGGGTTCCCGGGGTTTCTGCAGCGCCAGAGTTTTGTGCTTCCCGGCTGGCACAGATCCTCGCCTTCCTGCCCACTGGGTAAGGATCCCCAAGTTTCCTTGTTACAGCAAAGCAAGTCTTAACTCAAATTTGCCCTAACCTTTAGAACTGGAGACAGCCCTGCCTGGGCTGCCCTGGGCAGGTGCCCTGAGGCTGTGGGGCTGGGCCCCACCCCTCCCTGGGTTCCCACCGTGGCTGCCAGCCGGACACTCAGCGGCAGACCCCCTGGGCCCCTTTCACCACCCCCGGGGCCTCCCTCTGTGCTGCCAGGACCTCCTCCCGCCTGCCCCGCCTTCCACAGGCACCTACACTTACCACAGGCATCTTCTGTCTTCGGGTCTTCCAGAACCCCCGGGGCTCCCCCAGCCAGGTGTGGCAGCCTCACCCACGCCGGCTCTGCTGCTGACCAGCGGCGTGACTCAGGACGGGTTCATCGCAGCCTGCTTGCTCCTCTGTTGGGTGGGGTACGGCCCTACCACACAGGAGCCCTAAACGAGCTACCTCCAGCCAGGCTACTATTAACTTCACGAGCCCCCGGGAAGCCTGTAAGACAGGCCCTGCCAGCCCTGCTGTCCCGGCACGGCTCAGTCAGCCCCCAGCTTTCCGGAACCGGCAGCACGCCGCCAGCACGGGAAACCTCAACACTGTAGCTAACTGTTGAGCAAGGGGGAAGCAGAGGTTGGCCCTGGAGTCAGCGGCCCCGTGGAGGGCACAGCGGGGGCTCCTGAGGGAGAAGCCCCCAGGAAGGCCCTCCTGTGCTTCAGTGAGGTGCTGCACTCCAACCCGAGGGAGGAGACGGGACAGGATCTACGGGACACTTGGCAAGATCTCTCAGCCAGTGGGCAGGGGGAGCGCCCCGATCGGGAAAATTTGGCAGATTTGTCGAGGTGGAAGTGGCCTTGAATCACTTCCTCTCCAAGGGCTGCTTCCTCTTCCCCCACTGCTCCTTGACCTTGACCCCATCAGGCCACTTGGGCTCCGTCCCACGGCCACCCCACCCTTCTCTCAGAGCTGGATTCCCGCACCACCTGCAGTTCTCCCACCTGCACAGTACTTGCTGAGTGCAGCACTTGGACAGATCTCCTTGTTTGGGACAAAACGCCTACTTTGGCTTCTCCCTAAACAGGTCCCTCGGCCTGGTTGTAATTGTTCCGAGTACACTTTGAAAATCAGTACTGCAGTAAAAATACTCATCTCTGCACCATCAAAAATGATCTACCCTCCCTCGGGAGACCCTGGCTGGGCAAGACCTTCCCAACCTGACCCGTAAATCCGACCCAGAGCATCCCTGCCTGTCAGCCCAGCCTCCCTGCTGTGCCCCTGGACACCCAGTCCCTGGGCCTTCACACCTCCCACCACCAAACTTCCCTCGGTCGGGCCTGCCCCTGCTCTCGCCGCTCACGCTCACACAGTAAAAGTTCAAGTGCATCCATGCGGCAAGTGGCATTTTGTTGTCCCGAAGCCTGACTCTACTGCTAAGCTGCCCAACGCTGGAGAAGGATTAAGGGAAAAGGGATGATCCCATTCTCTTATTCACCACCCCAAAAAACCAGCCTGTGAAGCAGAATGACACGGAGCATGACTGTGTCCACCCCGTTCGGGGGAGACGCCCTTACCTGCTGGCTCACAGGAGAGGCACCCGGCCTCCACCTTCAAAAACAACACAGAGCCTTGCACAAAACACACTTTATTGAGAGAGAGGCGGTTGGTGGGAGGAAAGATGTGGATGGAATCCCGGATGCTATTCCCAGCTCTGTCACCAATATCAAACGTCCTCCCAAAAGGAGCTCTGGAAGCGTGGCCTGTAGCTGACAAAGGCCTCCAAGGACCCAGCAGGAGGCAGGGGGCGCAGGAACCCTTCGCACGGCCCCACGGGCCAGGAAAAAAACAGACCAAATGCTCGCTTCACTGCGCTGTCTGCCGGCACGCACGCACACACACAGTCAACACACTTATTTGTGTATTTTAAAAACTCACTAGTCGTCAGCAAAATAATTCTACCTTCCAGCCCCTTTCAAAGGAAGCCTTCCCCAGACCGAAAGACAAACAGGTCCACAGACTGAGACACCTGATGAGGGCCTTCCTGCTCCCAGCATCCCCCCAGCCCGGCACCCGAAGGCCGCCCTCCCTCCTCTGCAACACCCCTGTCTGCCCCAAAGCTTTCAAGGGTTCACTTCCCTGCACTGACACATGGTTCCCTGACTACACATAAGCCCCATATCTCAAAACATTATTACCCAGCTATTTCTAATTTTAAATCACAACGAAAGCCAAACCAAACCACCGCAAAGAAACTCCTAAGGATGTGTTTACGGCAAATATCTACAAATGTTTGAAATGTCGGCAGCGAAGTGCGCACAGGGCTGGCTCTGGCTGAGAGCCTTCGTTATTAAAAAAGGAAAGAAAAAAATCCTAAGCATTTCTTAACACCGGTTTGCAAGAAAACCCCATCACCAAAGGTGCATTTCTCCTTTAACTTTTGATTTGACCAGGCCTGCCCAGAAGCAAGCTACCAACTCTCTTCTGGAGGGATCTGGACAAAGGTCTGATTTTAAACAAAGACCCTCCCTGTTCCCACCCCCACCCCCACCCCCACCCCCACCCACCACCTAAAGGACCAGGGATGTGAAATGCCTTCTAAGTGATAATCATTCACCTTGAGGGTGGAAGGAGACCGGGCTCCTAGGAGAGTATACAGCTGAGCCCGTTATAGCTGGAAGGAGGGGGGGTACTCAGGGCTCCCAGAGAAACTCTTTTCCCCTGATGCCCAGTAGTGTCACCTCCCACTTGCAAGGCACCAGAGCCCGCCCAGCTCTCCCTGCTCCCTGGCCGCCCCATGAAGCCAGTTCCCCTAGAACCAACCACAAGGAAAGGTCTGGGCCTGGAGCCACGGACACAAGAAGGGTGGCCACATGGGTAAGAATGCATCGTGGGAAACGTGCAGGGCCCCGGTCAACCCCAGTGCGGACTGGGCCTGGGGATTCTAAGTCTCCAGTCCAGGGGCACAAAGGACTCTATGGGTTGGGGAAGCGCCGCCTGACCCACCCCCGGGCTGGGGTTGGACCCTCCACTCAGCCACCAGCGGGCGCCCCTCCTTTTTCCATGCTTTTAATGCTTTTCAGATGGTGAGAGGCTGTTGCAATGGTCAGAGGCTGTGCTGGTGGCCGAGAGCACCCCCATGCCTGCCCCCCACACCCCTTCCTCCAGGAGATACTCAAAAGGGACCGGGCCCCCCCCTTTGAAGCCCCATCTCAAGCAGTAGACCGGCATCTCCAGTTTGGTCCTGCCTCCTCCCCCCAGAGTCTGCCGCAAGCCCAGGAGAAAGGGGTGCTTCCGGCGTCTCCTAGGAGCTGACGACATGGCCGGACCAGGTCTCGTGCTTGGTGCCCGGGGCCAGATGGGTGATGACCACCTCCACGGCCTGCAGCTTCTCGTTCTTGGGGGGGATGGAGCACATCTTATAGGTGACCTCGTCGCCTTCCACGGGGACATACTCCCCTTCCACGCTGCAGAGGTGGGGAGACAGCACTCAGTGCCCAGCACTCAGAAAGGACCGCAGCCCCTGCTGGTCAGAGGGCCACCCCTTTCACTGGCACTGCCCCTCCTGCCCTGCCACCGGAGGGAGCCACCCCATTTCAGTGGCGCCACATCACCCCTCGCCTCCCCTGACGTGGAGGCCAAGACCAGGCTCAGCCTGTGCAAGGGCCCATGCTGTCCATTAAACATGGGCCTGTGGACAGAAGGGCAGGGAGAGCCAGTCTGAGCCTGAGACAGAAAGACTAGGCCAGCCCGTCACTGTCGAGTATGGCGCACCGAGTTTCCTGAGCTCCTGCCGCACACCCACCCTGGTCCCAGGAGCCCCCCAAACCCAGCTGCGTGCATCTCTGCCCTCCAACTCCCCCGGCACTCAGTGAGCTTACGGGAAAGTCCCTTCTGTGCTTAAAGCTAGTTCCAGAAAGCGTCCTCTCCCTGTGACCACCCCCAGGAAGATTCCCTCACGTTCCGCGGGGCACAAGCCACCATCTTGATGCCCCCTTGAGGATACCTCCAAGAGGAACATCCCCCTCAGCTCTTGGAACTGGTTTGTCTTGACTGAAGAATCCCCTAGCAAATGGTGCCTCCCTCTTGGATCTGGCCACCGGGAAGCTCAGGAATATACCTACAGTCCACTTCCGGCGTGCAAGTGGCCATCCCCATCTCTCCACCTCTCTGATTCACTCCCCGCCCCCATGTTGTCCTGACTTATTTTTCACGGTGCATTGTGAATATCCTTGTAAGCCACTACAAATCCCTTCTGGACAGAGTCAAGATGGAAATACATGTACACATCCACGTATGTGTGCATCCACACATCAGATGCATTGCCTCAGCACCCTTCTCATGTGTGCACTGCAGAGGGGCCCGTGTAAGGCCTGACGTGGAAGAACGTTGGGAGGAAGGCCTCAAGAAGGGATCATTCGCCCATCCCGACAGACATTTGCGACAGTACCCTTCCTATTTGCAAAAACATGGTTTTTCTCCATTGCCTGGTCTGCTGTGTGGGGTAGGACTCAGCCTGCCACAGATTGAAATAAAGATCGGGGGGTGCAGAGGCCAAAGAATGGAGCAGGGGTAAAGGAGTGCCAGATGAGGTCCCCACGTATCTGAAGGCAGGAGAGAAGCACAAGCTCTGGCTGCCTTCCAGCCCCAAGGCCTCGGATGTGTGGGCCGCACCCTGGGCCTCCCGAGGGTTTCCACACAGGAAGGAAGGACGTCAGTGAGCAAATGGCAGGGGAGAGGGTCCAGCTCCAGACTTCCTTCCTGGACCACAGGGGTCGCGCAGCCCCCAGCCTCACCAAGCGGCCTCCCCCGAGCTAAGCAGGAGACCAGACCCCGGGTCCAACGCAGCTCCCACAGCTCCTGGGGGCGCCCCCCTCCCCATCCACCAGATACACACAGGCACTCAGACCCATCCCAGGGGTTCTCAACACACCTGCGTGCTCGCTCTCTCTCTCTCTCCCCCGCACGTGCACACACATGCACATGCACACACGCAGACTGTCGTCAACCTGCAGCCTCCCACACACACCACTGCCAAGTACAGTCTCACCACCCCACCCCCAGACACAGTCACACACAGGTCACAGGCAGAGTCTCACACCCTCACACACAGCGCCCACTGAAGTCACACCCTCCCCCTGCCTCCTTGGGGCCTAGGCAGCACCTGCCCCAGCCCCAAACCACCCAAACCAGCCCTGACTCACTCGGAAATGTGCAGGAAGATGTCAGGGCCGCCATCGGCCGGGGTAATGAAGCCATGGCCCTTGGATCGACAGAAACATTTGCAGACTCCTTTGTAGACGGGACCTTGAGAAGCCCGCACCGTCCTGATAGAGATGAAGGAGGTGAGGAGGCCCCCACCAGCCCTCCAAAACAGCCATCCACTCTCCTGGGGCACACCCAGCTCCTCCCAGAACCTCCCCCCACCCAAAAGCTGTGCCCCAGGCAGTAGCCAGGGCCACGATGTCCAGCTGTGCAGGCTGTGCACTGCACAACTCTGGGAGCCATTCACACAGACCTCAATAAGAGTGACTCTCTGATGACCCTGGCAAATTTTCTCAGGCCTCAGTTTCTCCATCTGGAAAGGGTATTAGACTAAAAGCTCTCTGAGCATCCCTCTGAGGACTAATTATTAATAACTACAGCAGCCTCTACTCCTTGGGCCTGAGATCTGGATCCGCCAGGCACCGTGCAGGTCCTTTGCAGCTCTGTGGCCAACCTGCTACTGTCCCCATTTTGCAGTTGAGGAAGTCGAGGTCTTGCAAAGGAAGAGGCTTGTGTGTGGTTAACACGCAACGATTTAAGACCCCAATGATTTCCCCTTTGTTATGACCCCCAGCCTGGGGCAGGCTCAAGGGGCCTGGGGCAGTGCCCCCCAAAGTTTACAGGGTGCCTTTCCAGTCTCTCACCATCGGTCCTTACCCCAACCCATCTACCCCTTTGACAGTCGAGGACACTGAGGCACAGAGATGGCCAGACACAATGACTCTGGCTCTGGGCAGGAGACCTATCTCAGGAGGCTTCCCCAGGCTAACCCAAGACTCACGCTGAGAAGGTCCTTGTCCGGCGGGTGGGTAGTGGGCTGGGGACCACGTTGCCCCGAAGAGGGGATGGTGACCGATCTCGGGCCCGCTGGGTGTCCAGCAGCCCCACCGAAGTCTGATGGGTCGGGGGCTGTGGTGGCGGAGGAGGCTCAGATGACATGGCTAACCTAGGGAGAGACAGAGGGCTCTCAGGGGCTAATGCCTTGCAAGGAGGGGCCCCCCAGATGCACCCCCCAGCCCTGTGAGAATCTGAGAGAGTCTGCCATCCGAGACCCAGTGCTCTCGGCTGGGGAATGCAGGCGCAAGGCTCACTCAGCGTAGAGGTCCCCTTGTCCGGAAGCATGCCCGG